ATCATGAGTGTGTGTGCGGGTGTGTGTGTGTGAGGGAGAGAGAGAGAAAGAGATAGAGAGAGAGAGAGAGAGAGAGAGAGAGAGAGAGAGAGAGAGAGAGAGAGAGAGAGAGAGAGAGAGAGAGAGAGAGAGAGAGAGAGAGAGAGAGAGAAATAGAAATCCAGATTGTGTAGCAGTGTCGCAATGCTGAGTGGCACTCAATCAGATCATTCTTAAGTGGGCGGTGGAAATGGTAGTACTCACGAGCTGGCGACCACAGAGACTCTCTGAAGGAGGAAATTGGTAGCAGCCACCAATCGTACAATACAACCACCGGGATCTCGATATTTACCGAAGCGTCGCCGAAAAAAATGCGCATTCTTAGTTGGAGCTACTACTAGATGAGGCGATATTAATCTGGGTTTTGGGGGTGGCCATATTTGCTTGGTTCACTGGCTGCTGGAAAAGCAGTGACACTGGAACAGGTGTGATCCACTATGCCCGTGTCAGAGCGGCCCGGTTTCACTTCGCATTTGGACGGGGTTTCGAACAGATGCGAATTCATCTGACATGGTGAACATGGTTACGCTGCTCTGGTGTGGATAGAAATTGATTGGCTAAAACCATGTTCTGTGGAGGAGGTTCGGGTCTCGTTCGGTTTGGGAGGTTGCGCAAAGCTTGGGACGTGCGGAATCGCTTCTCTGCGCCTGGGTAGTTCCCATGGGGAATACAGTAAGTTCCAGAAAGGAATGGTGTGGTTTGGCGCTTTTTGTTGCGGTAGGTGCGGAAGGGAGTGGTGTGGACTCCCCCCAAAACTGCTCCAAACCAAATATCTTGCTGATTAGCTACGAGGCAGCAGCTTCGGCCAGCCAAACGTTTCACCATGCCGAGCCTAGTGTAGACGTTGCTGGTCCGATTACACCCTGTTTCGCGCTAGCAGAGCATCTGGTTGCAGAACATGCACAGGTTGTAGAACGTCACCACGTTTGAAATGGTCTTATCACCGACGGTACAAGCACATTCACAAGAAAGCGGTTAGCTAGGATGCTGCATGGTAAAGAACATTAACCAAGCGTTTCAAAGCGGTTGAAAAGGGTATACAGCGATAAAGAAAAATTTTGCCCCCAGTACCACTCCGTCAGCTGGTGCGGCTTTGCCCGCAGGTTTCAGCCATACGGTTTATGGCACCTGACCGCACTGTAGCAGCGAATCGCGCAAGGTGAGAGGGTCGAGAAACAGGGTGTACAAGGCTGGTCTGAAACGAGGAATACAGCACAGTTGTACATTTGTACAAGTTGAAGCCCTTCCGTCGGACTGACGGTGGTTTTGCTTCACGTGCAACTGTCCACGGGCAGGACAGTGATTGGACCACGCTACGGCCGGATGAGAACAGACATTTGATTTGATGTGGTGGAAGCACATTTTGAACCTGTACCGTTACATCTTGTTCTCGATTAAATCACATCCCTTAATCGCAGACCCTGGGGTACTTACCCTACTCCTATCGGTTTCGTAGGGTAGTTACCAATGTCTAGGAAAACCGCGGAGGAGGGTCCGACGTACTTTCGCGAACTGTCAAGGTGCACCAAGAATATAAAAGAGAACCCGAACCTAACTAAACCCCAACCCCGAATTTTAAGTGCGAGTTTCTTTCTGAAGGCACCTGCCAGCTTTCTGAGGGCTTTTAAGTGGTTCTTAGCTTTTCGCAGAGCTTCGTCAACGTAGCACCTAGCAAAAAGGGGCTTATAAAAACTCTGTAACTCCTTGTTGACATTTTGACTTCGGTCTCTTCTGTGGGACTTCGGTTTCTGTGGTTCGTATTGGTTCATAACGACTGCAGCTTGCTCGAGGGGCTTGTAATGTGGGTGTAAATGTCTTGTAAAAAAATCACGGGTGCAAACTTTCTATTGTAACAGAGCGAACTCGCGCACAAGGGCTGAGCATCTTGTGTAGCCCATCTGGATTCAACATCTCAACGACAAGTCAACGGTAGATACGTCAGACCGTCTGGAATCTATGGTTTCAACGTCAATCAAGGTGCGAGTCTCTTTAAAGTCAACGCTATTTTACAGGCCCTGGTTTCTAGATGGTCAGCCTCATAACTCCCCCCCAACGAGTTACGTTTGACTTCAATTATGGTCAGCGCTGACTTTGATGAAGTCTGAGTTATGAAATAGTTCTCTGTATCATAGATTTGGACTTAATCATCCTTGTTATACGAACGCCATTCCCATTACATGCTCAGCATGTTGTAACCTTCATAAACGTATCAGCGATACAACTATTGGTCATATTCCATACAAGCGGATGACGAGTTTCAGGCTTGAGAGACAAGATCGTCTTCTGTTTTTATTATCAATGCTTGTCCTAGCATCATATAGTATAAGTTCAAAAATCACGATGTTTCAACCTCTTCAGACTGATTTTGAAAAGAAAAAAAATCCTAACCTTAGCTCAACTAGAATGACTGCAATCGCCACTACAGTTGACAAGATTCCTTCCCATGCTTACATAAAACATCTTAACGACCCCCACGAAACCCACCATAACCCGGGCCTGCTTTTTGAGACGGTTTCCGTTCTTTCTTGCCCATGTCACCAGCACCTGCACCTGCACTGCCAGCAGCAGAGCCAGCAGCACCACCGGCACCTCTAGCAGCGGCACCAACAGCAGCACCAGATGACACATGTTTAGAACTAGTGGTAGACGCGGCTGTGGGCCTGGCGAAAGAACCTCCCCCAGAGCCACCAGATGAACCTCCCCTGGATCCACCTGCAGAAGATGACTGTCCTCTTCCTCCCCCTCCACTACTGCCACTGCCACCGCCAGCAGCAGCAGCAGCACCATCACCACGGCTCCCAGAACCTTCCTGACCACCCCACCCTCTTCCACTTCCCCCTCCCCTCCCCCCTCCCCTCCCAGCTCTCCCTCCCCTTCCCCCTCCTCCCCGCCCTCCCCCACCTCCTCCTCTTCCTCCTCTCCCTCCTCTCCAACCTCTCCCCCCACCTCCTGGCCCAATTCCTCCCCTTCCTCCTCCCAACCCTCCACCACTCGCCCCTAACCCCCCTCCGCCTGACCCACCCTCCCCCTCTTCCTCCTCCTCCTCCTCCTCCTCCTCCTCCTCCACCTCTTCCTCCTCCTCTGCTCCCCCCCATGCTGCACGGTTACCACCTTCCCCCAGCCCATGAATCAGCCCCGCCTCGATTCGCTTCATCTCAGCCGCTTGTGCCGCCGATCCGACGGCCACGGAGCCCTTAACCTTGTAGCTGTAGTTCTTGCCGTCTTTCACATAGAACTGGGGTCCTTGGGCCTGGGCCTGCGCTTGGGCTTGCTGTGACTGTGACTGTGACTGCGCTTGTGCTTGCACCAACCCCTGCTGCTGCACCTGCTGCCCCTTCAAACCAGCACCAACAGCACCACCAGCACCAGCAGCACCACCAGCACCACCAGCACCACCAGCAGCAGCGCGTGCAGCAAACCTCGTCCCCACCTCCTCAACCTCACTGCTCCCCGCACCTCCTGCCACGTCATACCCTTCCAGCTCATCAAATGAGTCGTCATACTCATCGTCGTACTCAAACTGCGACTCAAACACAAACCGCTTCACTGCCTCCTGCTCCCTCCTGCTCCCCGTGCCTGCTGCCGAACCTCGCTTCCAAACCTCCTCTTCCACCGACTCATCCTCCCTCTTGCTCCGGACGAACCTACCAGCAGGAGCAGCAGCAGAGGCAGCGGCTGTAGCAGCGGCTGTAGCAGGGGCTGTAGTGGGTGTGGTGGTAGTTTTTGCAATGCCTGCCCACGAGCTCCCACCCTCCCCAACCGCACTGGACCCTTCTCCTCTCAGCTTCCTCTCCACCTCTCTCTGCTGGTCCACAACCCCTCCCCACCCCCTTGCACCCCCTTCCTCATCCTCCTCGTCCTCCTCTCCTCCCTCTGCAACCACTGCCTTGCCCTTTCCTTTACCTGCTGCCCCACTTGCAGCACCACCACCAGCTGCACTAACAGCACCAGCAGCACCAACAGCACCAGAAGCAGCAGCAGCATCCCCCTTACCACCCGCACCAGCCTTCCCTGGCTTCACCTTCAGCTGAGTGTCTAACTTAGCTAAATCCGGGTGTAAACTCCCCTCCAGTACATGCTGAATCACCGCCTCTGCATCCCCCCCATACGCCTCCAAACACGCACCCACAAAGCCCTCCCCGAAATCCGGGAAAATATCTCGCACGAGCGAGATCTTGGATTGCTCGAGGGCTGCTGACTCAGCATCAGCGGAGGCAGAGAGGGAGGGAGTGAGGGAGGGGAAGTCTTCTGCTGAAGGGGGGTGGTTCGCTGCTGTGGTGTTGCTGGTAGTGGATGGGTCAGAGGAGGAGGAGGAAGTGAGGGGTGGTGGCAGGGTGATTGGAGGGCCTATTATGTCCGAGATCGTATCGAACTGCGTGTTATCCAGGGGAAGCTTGCCTGCAGGAAAGACGGAAGAAAACAAAACGAAAACAGAAGTGAGGGGTGGTGGCAGGGTGATTGGAGGGCCGATTATGTCGGAGATCGTATCGAACTGTGTGTTGTCGAGGGGAAGCTTGCCTGGGGAAACAACGCGAGCAATAAAAGGAAAAACAGTGGGGAGAGAAGTGAGGGGTGGTGGCAGGGTGATTGGAGGGCCTATTATGTCCGAGATCGTATCGAACTGCGTGTTGTCGAGGGGAAGCTTGCCTGGGGAATGGGAAGGAGGGCATATCACAGAAGAAAGGGTTGACTTTTGAGTCGACTCAAAAGGGAGAGAGGAAACACTGGATGAGTGCTATTTTGGCGGAACGGGCACTGACTGAAAAAGTACAACCACACGTCAAGCTGAACACACACAGCCACACAAGCAGCTCTATGAAACACTAGGTAAGACAAGAACCTTCTAAGGGATAGGTAGTAGATATATAGCTTAACACAGAACCACACCATTCAGGACAATAACCTTTTGATACACACCTAACGAGGCGAAAACCGGCCTCCTATTGCTCAGTTTTTTTCCTCACCTACCTTTCATTTTCTCTTCATAGATTGCTGACCGAAGACCAAAAGAAGCATCAACTGCCCGAAGCAGAGGGATCCACGCCACGCCATCCACATCTTTGCTGCCCGTGCTGCCCGAGCTCACTCCATGCACCGCAAGAATCTCTTCGAGCAGCACCTGCCCGAAATTCATTTTCTGGCCAAGCAGCCCGTCCCACAACGGGCACCCAGATTGTTTTCCCCTGCCCGGCTTGACTCCACAATCACACACAGGGCAGGGTGGCAAACCATCACTGCTGCTACCACTGTTGCTGCCTCTATTTCTGCTACCCCTGCTCCTGCTAGTCCTATCACCACCAGCAGTATTATCACCACCAGTACCACCACCACCAGCAACAGCAGCAGCAGCAGCAGCAGCAGCAGCAGCACGAGCACACCCCCTTCCTCCAAGATACGCGCCCCAGAGATACTTCCACGCAACTTCCTCCAGCTTCGTTTGAAGAATCTTCCCCTGAACATTCACCGTTGCTGCTGACTGCATCGGTGTTCGCTTTGCTGATAACGAGGAGTTGGAGGAGGCGAGGAGGAGGAGCAGAGGGAGAAATGAGTCGCGAATTTGAGCCAACACAGAGAGAAGCCGCACAGGAGAACTTGCTGCTGGTGCTGCTGCTGCTGCTGCTGCTGTGCCTTGTTTCGATTTCCTTGTAGGTGCTGTTCTCGTTGTTGTTGCTGTGGTTGCTTGCAGGAGGAGTAGCGGGGCAGGCGGGTAGGCATCAAACAGCGCGTCGAGAGAGAAGGCGAAGTCACAGAGGTATTGGAGGGCTTCAATAATCTCAGAGGCAGAAGCTGGCTGTGGGGAGAGCAATGGGGAGACGAGGAGGAGGAAAAGAGGGTCAAAGATTGAGTTGAGAGAGAGAAGGCAAAGTCACAGAGGTAGTGAAGGGCCTCGGTGATCTCTGAGGAAGGAGGTGGCGATGATGCCTTGCTGTGCTGCAGAAGTGGGTGGGGGAGGGCAACAGGGAGACGAGAGGGTGGAAAAAGAGGGTAAGCGTCAAAGAGCGCGTCAAGTCGAGGGAGAGAAGGCAAAGCTATATTGGTGCGACTCTTGAGAATTCTCATAAGTCGCAGCAAAGTCAGAGAGGTAGTGAAGGGCATCGATGATCTCTGAGGCAGAAGCTTGTTGTGAGTCTGCTACGTCCGATGATGGGAGAAAACAAGAAGATGGGAGAAAACAAGAAGATGAAGAGATGTCTGCATCTAACTCTGTTGCCTAAAGATAAAAACAACTAAACAACGAAACTTCCTCTCACGGACAAAGTAACACTACGTGATCTGTACCTCCTCCATTCGCCCACATGCCCTCGCCACCATCTCCTCAACCACCCGCAGCAGCAGCTGCTGTAACGGACCAAGAAACAACAACACCTTCCTCCCTTCCTTCCCCCCAACCCCACTCCCATCCTCTCAATACATACCTCCTCCATTCGCCCGCACGCCCTCGCCACCATTTCCTCAACCACCCGCAGCAGCTGCAGCAGCAGCTGTGCCTACGAAATCAGGAACTCCCCCCATTTCCATTCGATGCACCACGTACCTCCTCCATTCGATGCACCACGTACCTCCTCCATTCGCCCACATGCCCTCGCCAACATCTCCTCAACCACCCGCAGCAGCTGCAGCAGTGACGCCAGCCAAAGACCTTCCCCTACCCTATCCAATCCGTACTCCTCCATCCACTTACCCCCTCCATCCACTTACCTCCTCCATCCACTTACCTCTTCCATCCACTTACCTCTTCCTTCCACTTACCTCCTCCATCCACTTACCTCTTCCATCCACTTACCTCTTCCATCCACTTACCCCCTCCATCCACTTACCTCTTCCATCCACTTACCTCTTCCATCCACTTACCTCCTCCATCCACTTACCTCTTCCATCCACTTACCTCTTCCATCCGCTTACCCCCTCCATCCACTTACCCCCTCCATCCACTTACCTCCTCCATCCACTTACCTCCTCCATCCACTTACCTCCTCCATTCACTTACCTCCTCCATCCGCCCACACGCCCTTGTCACCATCTCTTCAACCACCCGCAGCAGTTGAAGTAGAGAAGACGAGAGATCAGCTCGGAAGAGAGGCTGAGAGACCAGCACCCGACACACCTGGTGGTGGGGAGAGGTGCAATGCGGTGACAAGAGGTGCAGAGCAGCACGGGATGCATTCAATCTGTCTGTACCCACACGATCCGCCTCCACCAGCAGGAGCAGCAGAAGAAGTGGTGCAATACGGTGATGCAGGGAAACCAAGGAAGCAGGTGCAGTGCAGTGCAGTGCAGTGCAGTGAGGTGGGGTGCTAAAGTAGGTGGTGCAATGGGGTGAGTGATCAAGTAAGGGGCGCTGCGGTGATGGGGGGCAATTAAGTGAGCGGTGCAGTGCAGCGAAGACGGGTAACCAAGAGGTGAAATGCGGTGAAGTGGGGCAGAACAGTGTGCGGAGGTAGATAGACTAACCAGCTGCCGTGTTGCAGCGGGGTTTGCCCTCGCAAAGACAGCAGCCACGTCCATGAGCTTGGGCGCATCGAAGAGGCGCATGGAGAGGAGGAGGTCTGCGAGCGACAGGTAGAGAAGCGGGGAGAGAGGTCAGAAGAGGAAATTTGGCCCTCGCAAAGTCAGCAGCCACGTCCATGAGCTTGGGCGCATCAAAGAGGCGCATGGAGAGGAGGAGGTCTGAGGGAAGGGAAGAGAGGGTTGAGGTGGTAGGGGAGAGAGAGATGTAGAAGAGGGGAGAGAGGGTAAGAGAGGCAGGTGGCCTTCCCAAAGACAGCAGCAGCCACGTCCATGAGCTTGGGTGCATCAAAGAGGCGCATGGAGAGAAGGAGGTCTGGGTAGGACGGAGAGGGTGGAGTGGAGGTGGAAGGGGGAAGTGCAGGGGAAGAAGGAGGGCAGATGGAAAAGAGACAGAGTTTGTCATTCTAAAGACAGCAGCCACGTCCATGAGCTTGGGCGCATCGAACAGACGCATGGAGAGAAGGAGGTCTGGGTAGGACGGAGAGGGTGGAGTGGATGGAGGGCGTGTGGGGGAACAAGAAGGGAGATGGAAAAGAGAAGGAGGTTTGCGCCTAGTTTTGAGTCGACTCAAAGCATGGAGAGGAGGAGGTTTGCACGAGAACGAGGAGCGTGGAGGTGGAAGGGAGAGTTGTTGTGAGGAAGTAGGGAGAAGTTCTATAGGTCATTCGTAAACTCTTAGTAGGCTTGCCGCTTGCTGCGGATCAAAACCAACTAATTTCAATCGTAAGGAGGTAGGGAGAAGTGGGGGGGAGAGGGGATGGAGAAAGAGGAGAGAGGCACTTGGCCTTTCCAAAGGCAGCAGCCACGTGCATGAGCTTGGTTGCGTCAAATATGCGCATGAGCAAGTGGCCAATGAAAGTCATGGAATCAACACGTGGCGGTTGAAAAAACATGAGGGTTGAATCGCATGGTGTAGGAAAGGCATGGCTGGGAGCGGCATACATACGTGCATGGTCCTTGGCCTGAGGTGACTTTTGAGTCGACTCTAAAGGCATGGCTGAGAGCGGCATACATACGTGCATGGTCCTTGGCCTGAGGTGACTTTTGATTCGGCTCTAAAAGCATGGCTGGGAGCGGCATACATACGTGCATGGTCCTTGGCTTGAAGCTGCTCTGATGGTTTCGCTCTGGACTCGATATTAGATGACCTGTTAGTAGCATGTACAGGAGAAGGAACCAGATAAAAAAATAGCTGGAAAATGGGAGCGAGAAAAAAAGGTTCCCATTTCGCTCCCATTTCTTGTGAAAGTGCAGGAAATGAAAGATTCGCACAAGAGTAGACATGGAATTGCCCTTGTTGAAATGCTTACGCATAGAAATTTCATGCTTGTGACATGCCAGCGCACCACAATACATGCTGATGCACACGGCAATACACAAGCATACACATGAATTGCCATGTTCATGCCCACGCACCACAATACATGCTGACACACACGGCAGCTGACAGACACTCACATGCGCAGCAGTAGCAGGAACACCAGCCGACACAACTCCTCATCCCCCACCACCACTCCCCTCCCTGTCGCCTCACTCCCCTCTCCTCCCCCTCCTCCCCCGTTCACTCCGTCTGCTCCTGCTGTTCCCAAAAATCCGCCAGTTTCAGCAGCAGCGGCGGCGGAGAGAAGATGGTCAAACCAACGGGACCGGAAGCGGAGGTACGAGTCGAGGAAGGCCACGAGTGAGGGCGAGCGGGCAACTGGGGCAAACAGGGGGAGGGGGGAAAGGGGAAATTCAAGAAAGAAGTGGGTGAGAATTGAGCAGCAGCAGCAGCCGAGAGGAGGAGGTCAAACCATCGGGAGCGACTTCTGAGAAGGTGGGAATCCAAGAAGGCCCCGAGCCAAGGCGAGCGAGCAACTGGGATGGGGGGAAACAAAGTGTTGAGAGGAGGGGGGGATGTAGGGAAAGGGGGAAGGGGGAAGGGGGAAAAGGGGAGAGGGGGAAAATGGGGAAAAGGGAGGAGAGGGGAAAGGGAGAAAGGGGAGAAATGGGGAAAGGAGAGAAAGGGGAAAAGGGGGGAAAGGGAGAAGGGTGAAAGGGGGAGAAAGGAGGAAATGGGGGGAAAGGGGAAAAGAGGGAATGGGGTATGCACATGGGTACAGGGTAGGATGCACACACACACTCCCCCTACACAGACCATACCCCCCTCTCCCCCCTAACACCCCTCCCCCCTCCCACACACACTCACGTACCTGTTCTCCAGAACTGCTTAGCTGGCAATCTCAGCATCTCTTGAAGCCTCTCCACCGTCCGATCAACCATCTTTTGAGTATCGCCCGAATCCACCCCTGCCAGACCTGCTGCCGAGCCTCCCACCAAGCCTCCCTCCGAACCTCCCTCCAAGCTTCCGTCCAAACCTCCCATCCTGCTTACTCCACCTGCCAGAATCTCATCCTGTGGCAGATACGACAAAAACGGCTCCTCCTCCTCCTCCGGAGCTGTTGCTACAGCCATAGATGCTACTGCAGGCACTGCTACAACCGTTGATGCTGCAGGAGCTGCTACAGCCGTTGATGCTGCTGCAGGCGCTGCTACAGCCGTTGATGCTCCAGGAGCTGCTACAGCCTGGGGTGGTGCAAATCCAGGAGGGGCTCTTACAGAAGCAGCATGTAACGAGGATGAGCCAAAACCTGGCGGAAAAGCGGGAGAGGCGGAAGCGGATGGTTGGGAGGGGGAGGGCCCGAAACCGGGAGGGACTGCGAGGCCAGACGAACCAGCTGTAGCAGCTGTAACAGCGGCTGCTGCAGGGGGTGTAGCAGATGTAGCAGCGACTGTAGCAGCTGTTGATTCTACTAGATTGGTCCGCTTCTCAAATCCAGGGGGCACTGAGGGAGCAAGTGGGGCAGATCCTAAAATTCCGGCACTGCCCGTCGCATCCAAATTCTGCCCGTCAACCAGCTGAGATTGTTGGATTTGCTGCCCGTGCGCTGAGTGATGAGCCTGCTGCTCCGCTTGCTGCTCCCCCTGCTGCTGCTCTGCCTGCTGCTGATAATTCCTTCCCCCTCGTCCGCCCCCCCCGCCCCATCTTCCGCCAAACCCGCCTCCCCGTCCGTGCCTTCCGCCTCCGCCGTCCCCCCACCAGCCGCGCTGATCCCCTCCCCCATGCCTTCCGCCGCCTCCGCCCCGCCCCCCTCTCCCTCCGCCACCCCAGCCTGACGCGTCCCCGTCACCCCTTCCGCCTCTTCCCCCTCCGCCTGTTCCCCCTCTGCCTGTCCCCGCGCCATCCCCCCAACTGTCTCCCACATACGCCCCCCCGCCACCCCTCCTTCCGCCTCCACGTCCGCGGCCTCCGCCGCCGCCCCCCCGCGGGCGCCACTCACGGCCTCCGCCACCCCCCCCTCCGCCTTCCATGTTTCGAGGCGAGCGGGAGGTTCGGAAATAAGGTCAGCAGTAGTGCTGATCCAGATGGATGTGACTATACGCGGATCAAGCTGGCGTCCGTAAGTCGCGAAACTTCGCTAATAGATCAGGCACGGGAAACACGCGTGACCCTGCCAGTTCATAGTAGGGACTACGGAACAGAAACCAGGAATGTATGTAACATACCGTATTTAGGAAAACACTACAGAACTAGATCCTTCCTCAAAATGTTGCGTAATTCCCGAGGTTTGTTGGGTTGGGGGAAGCAGCACTCACGTAATCCCCTAGGCCCTTGCTGGTCGACGAATTCAACGAATTTTGTACCCGATATACGTTCAATCCAAACAATTGAAGCCGTTAAACTTTTGATATCACTGCTACTTGATATAGATTCAGCAAGAAACGAAAGTCATTGAGGGCTAGTACTGTAAATAAATTGGTGATTGCTTGTTATAGAGGAGAGCGTTACAGCATTTAGCAAACAAGTGTTGCACTATAACGAGCTACACCCAATCATCTTGCCATACTTCCAACCATGGCTCTTCCTCTCCACACCTGCCTTTCATCCACTAATCTACCTCCACTGTTTCCTCCATAACCACCATCCCCATAAGCACCAGGGCCATACGCCCCATTCCCATACCCTCCATTTCCATAACCCCCAGGAACACCATTTATACCACCTCCGTACCCCTCATAATACCCCTCATCCTCATCCTCCTCAGAATCATACTCGTTATAGTCATCCTCAACATCATCACGCCACCTCTCGGACGGCAGCTCTTCAGGCAGAATGTACCCTGCTGCCTCGGCGTTTCTCAGGCCAGTGGCAGTGCAACACGTGGCAAGCCCAAACAGGGCTGAAGCTGCCGACCAGAGGGTTGAGCCTGTAGCAGGAGGAGCAGCAGCGGCTGTAGCAGGAGCTTCTGCTGTAGCAACCTTCCCTGTTCCTGCACCTGCTTTTCCCGAAACCATCATCTGCTGCTGCGAGGGATGGAACGGAGGCTGCTGCTTCCCATTCCGGCTCACCTTCCCCCCTCCTCCCCCCTCTCCTCCTCCCCTTCCGCTCATTCCCCCCATTCCCCCCTTCCCAGGCGCAACCATCACTCCTCCCTCGCCCTTATACCTCCCACCTCCCCCTCTCGCTCCGTTCGCTCGCCGCCCGGAAACCCTTCCATACCCGTCCATCCTCCCAACCACAGGAACCGGCCCGGCAAACCGCTGCATCTCATTGGGCGGGAACGGGGCGGTATAATACGGCAGCAGCGGAGGATTCCCCACAGGAGCACCCACAAACCTCCCACCCTTCCCCCCCACCACTGGCCCATACCCGGGCACAGCACCATAGGCAGGGAGGGGGGGAGGAGGATAGGCGTGACCATACTGTCCTGGGAACATCCCTCCTCCTGGTCCGCCGGCGTGAGCAGCAGCAGAGAGCGCAGCAGAGGTTCGGGCTCGCAGCGACTCTAGCGCCTGCTCTAGGGTTGCCATGGCTTGGAGCACGTCCGGGGTCAGAGCAGGCTCGGCAGCACCGGAGCTAGCAGACCCAGCCACGGGGTTACCACCTGCACCAGTCCCACCTGCGCCTGCCAGCGCGGCTGCGGCAGCAAAGGCTGCGGCGATAGCCGGGTCTTGGGATGAGAACGGGGCGTACACAGGAGGAACGGGAGGATGAGGGTGCTTCTGCTGGTGCGGGTACGAAGCAGGTTCTGAATCGTCCAGGGTAACCAGCAGCTGATCCTCTGCGTCCTCGAATACCTCTTCCTCCTCCTCCTCCTCCTCCCCTCCATTCGTGTGAGTCACTCTTGCCGCTGCTGCTGTTGCTGCTGCTGCTGATGCAGCTGCCATGGCAGACCTGTGCGCCTCCGTGGGAGCCCCTTCCACAAACGACGCTGTTGCCACCAGCACCTTCTTTTCCTCCTCCACCTCCTCGCCTTCCTCTCCCTCCACCCCCGTCTCTCCCAACCCATTTTCACCCATCCCCAATCCTCCGGCCGCCTTTGCCCGGTACTCGTCCATAGCCGCTTCAATCCGGCCATACAGCTTCTCTTCCTTCAGAACCTTCCTAAACTCCACCCCCTTTTGCCCCTCATCTGCCAAGTCCGTCTCAACCTCTTTCCTAAACAAATTGAACAGCACCCCTCCGAACTCCTTGGTAACGAAGTTAACCACCATGGCCGGGAGCTTCAGATCGCAGGTGAAGATCGACCGGAAGTGGCAGCGTGAACGGCCGAGATCTTTGATGGAGAATCCGCCGTTGATGGCCATGCGGACCATTCCCGAGGGGACTGGCGGCGCCATGTCGCGGGAAAACCCGTGAATGGATGCGTCGATTTCGCTGTTGTCCTCTGGAAGCTGGGGATTGGAAGGGAGAAGGGAACGGGGAGCGGGGGGCATGGAGAGAGGGGGTGAAAGTGGGGGGTTGAGTGAGCCGTGCAGGCGACACGCCACGAGAAAACCCTTGGAAAAGAATAGTCGATTTCGTTATTGTTCGTAGGCACAGGCACCCTCCCACGCGGGCGCACAGACGAACACACTCGCTTACTTAACAACCCTCCCATATTCCCAGACACAGTCGCAATCATACTCGTACACTCACCGTGCGGACGACAGTGGTGGCAACACCCGTGTCGGAGTCGTAAATGGTAAAGAAGATCATCGGAACTCACACTCGCACACACAGTTACAGTCACACACTCACACGCTCGCGCACTCAATGTCACACTCAGCATACGCACCGTGCGGACGACAGTGGTGGCAACGCCCGTGTCCGAGTCGTAAATGGTAAAGAAGATCATCGCGAACTCCTGCCACGGGAACGGCCACGGCACCTTGAACCTGGAGGTAAGAGCACAACGAACGAACAGGAGAGGAGAGGAGAGGAGAGGAGAGGTGAGGTGAGGACAGCAGGAGGATTGTGGTTAGCTTGCGAGTTGACGGGGAAGGGTAGCGAGTTCCACTAAAGCGTGTGTAGCACACACGATACTCTGACTCCGTCTAGCGAGCTACTCACTTCATATAAGTGATATCGAAGCCGTCGCCGACGCGCGCGAGGTACCGGTTCTCGACGATTCTGTAGACGGGCATGTCGCCCTGCGGCCACCACTCCTTGAAGAACCCCGCGTCGCGCGTCATGGCGACGGCGGCGTGCACGGGGCTGTCGATGCGCCCCTCCATGCACAGCGCGTTTATCGCCGTGCCTTCCGGGCCCTTGCGCAGCATCGCGCGGTGCTCCGGACCCTCCTCGCACATCTGCGGGAGAAGCAAGGACGTGCAGATATAGGTGATGAATACGGGGTTATGAGATTGTGACGGGGTGATGGAATGCAGAAATCAAACGCTTCGCATTGTTGAGGCGCATTCCAGGAGTTTGTAGAAATCGCTTCAGTGGCTAGTAGAGGGAAGGAAGAACCTTGTACGTATGTTTTTCGTCGAATAAAAAAAGCGGCGAGTAGAGGGAAGGAAGAACCTTGTACGTATGTTTTTCGTCGAATAAAAAAAGCGGCGAGTAGAGGGAAGAAGAAAGTACCTTCCACGCATTGCGGTCCGCAGGATCGGTAGTAGCGAGAGCCTCCACGCTGACACTCTTAAGATCCTCCAAGAGCTTAACGGTCTCCGCTGCCCAATAGTCCGCCACGCTGTTGCTCGATCCACCTGCTCCCGCTGCTCCTGCTGCTGACCCATTTTTCACGTCCAGCTGCTTGCTTATAAGAGCCGTGACTTTATCGAGGTCCTTCCACGTGGGCTCCTCGAGCGCCTGATCGAGTAGGTCGATGCCTTCTGCTAGCGCCATGGCTTGGGTTTCTTTCGTAGAAATGGAATACTACGCTACAGGAAATAAGTTACCGTTATGGGAATACTACGCTGTTCCGAGTCCAGTTTCCAAGTTGTATTTCGCAGTTCGTGAAATCGTGAATGAGGATTCGGCCTACTATCGTCCTGACAGTGCAGGCGTGACCATGAATCCCGCAGTGGTTAACGGACGATGAAGAAACAAGCTAACGATAGATTACCTGAGAGAGACACTCCTCTAGAATCAATGGTCGCCCTTTCTATCAAGACTGATGAGACTGACTGACTGCCGAAGTTGACGGGTTATGTGATGGCTTGGATGGAACTTCAAGGCACAACTGGGCAAGGTGGGTGGTCAATATGAACTAGCATGTATCGCCTCGGTTTCATACCTGTCGTAGGAGAACCTCGTCTAGCCCCGACTAAAAAACACTGGCGGTGGAGGAACCTGGGAGCCGCGCGCCTTTTCTCCGCTGTACGGATAGCTCTGCGGTGAAACCAAGGTACAAAGACGTAGGTACTTAGTTAAGTGTGTATCAGCGAAAACTAGCGGTGGGATGGCGACAATACTCGGTACAGTAGATTCGGATGGACGACTAGGCTCGGACGAAAGACATCTGGTCAGCACAGCGCGACATGTGCGAGGCAACGATGTACCCGAACCGAGCGTCGTGCGTGAAATACCAATCACAACCAACCTTGTTTCGCTAGGCACGGAGCCTGCGGTGGCGGTGGCGAGGTGTGGTGGGGTGAGGCTAGGCGAGGTGGGGGTGAAGTCCGAACCTTCAATTCGATTCGAAGCACCTAGCTTTCACACCGTTAGCCTCGAATCGCGTCAACTTCACACGCATCGCGCAGTGAACAGTAATGCCGTTCATGCCACCGGCCTATGAATGCAGAGTACGCAATATGAAAGAATTCCGGGGTTAGGCCAAGTGGTTGAGAACAGTTGTAGACGTTTCTGATAAGGGGCATTCCGGCTGCAGTCTATGACTTGACTCATTAAAATTTGAAGTGCGAATCAAAATTATTTTTCACAGTTACGCATTCCTCGCAACACATAAAGCACAAATGACGTAGAAGCCTTTGTGTGTCACGTGGTTGAGCAGCTCTTATTTTGGTGAACTCTTTAACACAACTCAAAACCTTTTTTACTACGTAATAAATACGAAACAAAGCACGGCTTCACTGCCTCAGCTAGACAGACCTACCCAGGGGCCTATAGAACCTTGCTACTGCGTGAAAATCTCATTCCAAAGAATCTCTTGCCAATTCTTGAGAGGGAAACCCTCTTCCCGCCATCTTTCGGCTTTCCGGCCTTACCAGCATTACCATTGTCTAAGCATCCCAGTGCAGTATCTTCGTCACTCCCACCCGACTCTCCTGTAACCGTGACAGGCCGAGCGGCAGACTTGACCGGCCCAACAGAACTGCTTGAGAGTGCATTGTTCCCTGTCTCCCCATCACCCAGCACCACCTCCTCTTGGAAACCATCCTGCTGTGAAGGTGAGCAACTGAAGGCTTCTCTCTTCGTCCCAGTTGCAGCAGTCATGCTTGTGACATGTTTCTCATGCTTGGCATCGCCTTGTGGATCTGAAGGACCCGCTTCTGCTGCTGCTGCTGCCGCTGCACGCGCACGTACAAATAGAATCGCCTTATCCAGCGTAGCAACCGCCCGGAAAATTGCGGGGTCTCTGTGATAAAGCCCGGGGTAACTGCTCGGACTGCTGCTACCGCTGCTGCTCTGGCTGCTGCTGCCGCTGGCACTGGCACTGTCACCGCAAGCAAAGGAGCTTCTGCTGCTGGTCACGCTGCAACTGCTGTTGAGCATGTCTGGAATTTCACCTGCCCGAAGGTTAGCAATGACACCATAGCTGCCGCTGCTGGTGCTGCCAGTGACGGTTCGGATGCTTGGAAGCGGCCCCGAACGTACCGAGGAGGACTCCCGAAGCAGGCTCGCCATGCCTTCTCCGGCTTCCAGACCTCCGTGCCGAGCCAAAGGTAGAGGCCCGGAAGAAAAGGTTTGGGTAACGGAGCTGAAGGAAGTGGAAGCACTGGGAGGGCCCTCAGCAACATTAGCTGCAGCAGAAGCAGCAGCCAGAATCGTTGCAGCAGCTGCCGATGCTTCACTTGCAGCCATACCAGCCGCTCCTCCGGCTCCCAACCCGCTCCCGGACCTGCTTCCGGACCTGTCCCGAGCCTGTGAACCAGGAGGTTCAACAGAAGGTCGAGTCAGCGCTACAGCCGAAGCAGCAGCAGCCTCCAGCTGTAGCAGAGCCTCCTCCGCCTCCTCAGGCCCAAGCACACTCTCCCTCTTAGATAAAGACGAAACAAGCCGCTCCACCTCCTCCTCCACCTTTTCCCCCAATTCCCTCAACGACCTGCCCTCCTCCTCACTCCCTTCCCTCCTACTCTCCCCTTCCTCCGCCTTGCCCCGTCTATACTCCTCCATTGCTTTCCTCAGACTCATGTAGACCGGATCAGAGGCTAAGAGCTGTTGAAACGCCCCGCGCCCCTTCTTCTTATCACACTTGTTCACAGTAGCAGCAGCGGCCGCGGCTTTGACGATTGTGTCTACCTCGTGACAGAGCAGGTGGTAACCAGTGCCGGCTAGCTGCCGGGCAACGAAATTGATGAGCCACGGGGGCATGAGGTCGAACTTCATGTCCAGCGTGCATGCTCCGCTGTGGGGGGGAGGGGGGGAGAGGGGGGTAGCATGGGAGGCGACAAGGGAAGGCGTGGTGGCGTTGATGAGCCACGGGGGCATGAGGTCGAACTTCATGTCCAGCGTGCACGCACCGCTGTGGGGGGAGGAGAGGAAGGGAATGTGGCAAAGACAGGTACGGTGAGGAGGGTGTGGTTGTTGGTGCTGGTGGTACTTTCAGAGGCAACGGAGGCGATGATGAGCCTTAGGGGATTTTGAGAGACCTCAAAAACACCCTCTCCACACGTTGTTGTGGTGCTAGTGGTACTCTCAGAGGCAACGGAGGCGATGAGCCACAGGGGATGCAGGAACGGCGCCAGGAGCAATAGCAGCAGCAGCAGTTGACTTTTGAGTTGACTCAAAAGTCAACTTTCGGAGGCAACGGAGGCGATGAGCCATAGGGGATGCAGGAACAGCGCCAGGAGCAATAGCAGCAGCAGCAGCCGCCCGCCACCCCACCCCACGTCCTGCCTCGCAAGTTGCAGAAACAAAGCCAGGAATCGCAACAGCGGCAAGGCATACCCCTCGAATTTCCCAAGAGGGAAAGCTTACCGGAAGTAGCAGCGGCCGCCCCCCAGGTCCTGGCCTGCAAAGCCGCCGCCCACAGTCATGCGCACACAGCCCGGCGCCACAGCGGGCATGGCGGATGGGTGCAGAGGTGCTGTCTCTGGGTCCATGTGTGATATGTCGTCTGGTGGCTGGGGGAAGGGGAAAAAGGGAGAGGAGGAAAAGTGGGGAGTAAGGAGGGGGTTGGGTTCGAGGGTTGGGAGGTACAGTCATGCGTACAAAGCCAGGTGCAGGTTTTGTGGCCATGTGTGATGGGTCGTCTGGTGGCTGGGGAGGAAGCGAGTAGAAAAAGCGAGTACAGTCATGCGAGTACACAAAGCCAGGTGCAGGTGCCAGGGTTTGACAGGTCGTCTGGTGGCTGGGAATTGAAGGGGGGGTTGATGGCGGAGGCAACAAAAGGGGAGAAAGGAAGGGGGTTGGGAGAGACGAACCGGCATGCACACGTGCAGAAGGTTAATGTTTATTTTTGAGAATTCTCATGTGGCAAAAGTCACAAGAACATGGTTGGGAGAGACGAACCATCATGTATATTGGAGCGACTTTAGAGAATTCTCAAAAGTCGCTCCAAAAGTCACATGAACACGGTTGGGAGAGACGAACCACCATGCACACGTGGTGCAGAAGGCGAGGTCACAAAGCAGGCCGTGGCCGTGCGTGTTGTGAGGCATGAAGGCGAGGGAGAGCAGGCACGAGCAGGCCACTCACAAGAGCACCCACACGCACACTCACTGAGAGCATTAACAAGAGAGCACCGTTGTTCCCTCAACACCAGCACCCACCGAGTGCACGGAGGCGACAAAGAGGCCGGTGGGCCGTGTCGTGAACCATGAAGGCGAGGACTGGTGAATGTCCTCGGCTGTGCAGCAGTGCACAGAAGCAACAAAGAGGCCGGTGGGCCGTGTCATGAACCATGAAGGCGAGGACTGGTGAATGTCCTCGGCTGTGCAGCAGTGCACAGAAGCAACAAAGAGGCCGGTGGGCCGTGTCATGAACCATGAAGGCGAGGACTGGTGAATGTCCTCGGCTGTGCAGCAGTGCACAGAAGCAACAAAGAGGCCGGTGGGCCGTGTCGTGAACCATGAAGGCGAGGACTGGTGAATGTCCTCGGCTGTGCAGCAGTGCACAGAAGCAACAAAGAGGCCGGTGGGCCGTGTCATGAACCATGAAGGCGAGGACTGGTGAATGTCCTCGGCTGTGCAGCAGTGCACAGAAGCAACAAAGAGGCCGGTGGGCCGTGTCATGAACCATGAAGGCGAGGACTGGTGGACGTGTGTTTCTCAGCAGCATCAGTAGCGGACCCACTCCTGCCTGCACGACTCACCAAGAGCAGCCACGCTCACCGTTGGCGCGTCTACATGAGAGAGGCTCACTCGCCAGGTCACTCCCCACATCACCCATTGTTCACCCCCACACTCACCGAGTGCACGGAGGCCACAAAGAGGCCCGTGGCTGTGTCCTGAACCATGAAGGCGAAAAAGAGCAGCTCTCGCGTGGCAAAGGGCCATGGTGACTTGAACCTGTGGGACGGGAGAGGAGGTAAGGGAAGGGTGGGAGGCAAAGGAGAGGTATGAGTTGAGTCAAAACACACACGCGTGTGAACCATGGAGGCGAAAACGAGCAGCTCTCAAGAGGCGAATGGCCATGGCGACCTGAACCTGTGGGGCGGGAGGGAGAGGAGGTAAAGGAAGAGTGGGAGGCAAGGAGAGGTATGAGGTGAAGGGCCACAGATCAACCTACCGAGGCCAAAGCATGACTCGCTATAAGCATCACTGTGACTCGCTAGCTCGATCTCGACATCACCCCTGACTCGCTATAGACATCCCCACAGCCCGCTATAGGCATCACGACGAATCCAGCACCGTGACTCACTGCAGGTAGCTGAGCTCTAGGCCCGGTGCGATGCGGTGGGCAAATTTGGACTCTAGCACCTTGAAGGGCGGCACGCTGAACTGAGGCCACCTGCTCGGGATGACGTGGCATGGGATGACGTGGAATGGGATGACGTGGAATGGGAAAGACGTGGCATCGATGCCCGCAGCATGCCTCATGGAGGTGTGAAAAGGGATATGATGGTGAGTGCAATGCTGCGCGTGACGAGAATGGACTTTTTGGAGCGCCTCAAAATTGAGTGCAATGCCGTGCGTGACGAGAATGGACAGAGTGGAAGAGAGTGACGCGTGGGACCGAGTGGGGAGATGGGGGAAAGGGGAAGCCCCCCGGCTTGGGACCGAGTGGGGAGTGGGGGAAATGTGAAGAGAGATTGGGTGGGTTGGTTAAGGGAAAGGGGAAGGGCGACAGAAGGTGGAGAAGCCAGTATAGGGCGAAAAGCGAGCATGGATTTGAAGAGACGGTGGGCTTTAATTAGTCTTACCAGTCCTTGAAAAACGGGACTTCCCACACCACAGCCAACACTGCATCGTGACACACACAAACGGGGAGAATTAGGGGAAAGATATCATTTTGAGACGCCTCAACTTGTGACGAACGGGACTTGCCAGACCACAGGCAACACTGCAGTGTGACACAAACGTTTGGTGACGGTGAGGAAGATGATGCTGGGAAGTGGGCGGCAAGGCAGGTACGGCTCAGGGACGATCAGAAAAAAAGAAAAGATGAAAAAAAAAAGTGATTAGTGACCGCACTGCAGTCACGCTCAACATGGGAAACCAGACACGTGGCAGCAGCGGAAAAGTAGACACGTGGCAGGGTGGCCACGTACACGTGTCAAGCGGGCCGTGGATGATTCCTTCGAGGCAGATCTCGTGCAGTGGCGTGCCCTCAGGACCCTTGCGGTACAACACGCGGTGCTCCTTCCCCTCCTCCTTCAACTGCGCAGTATTGGGAAGGAAGAGGCGAAGGGAGGAAGAAACGAGAAAGTTGAGGAGCCATCATTTTACGGTCTTCAACCGGGTCCGGTCGCCCCTTGCAATACAGCACTTGGTGATTCCTGCCCTCCCCCCCAACCCGCGAGTCAAAATAATCGCAAGCTTAGGGGAAGTGACGCTCAGAAAAGCTATCCGCCACTGGCGATCATCGCTTACCCGCCATTGTCGGTCGTCGCCGCAATCCACGCCGTCCTCCCGGATGCTTTCGTTGCTCAGCGCGAGAGACTCGAGATTCGCCTCTCCCGCGGTGCGGAGGCTGTCCAGCACGTCGATTAACTCGCGCGTCCGCGCCTCGACGAATTTCTCCGAGAATCGCGCGCGACGCGCTTGCTTCCCCGCGGCATCGACGCCAGCACCGCCAGCGTTGGAGCCCGAAAGAATGTTCCCCTTGTTGGACTCCCCGAGAACGTTGCTGCTCGGACTGAGCCCGGTGCTGACATTTTGCTCCTCGGAATCCGCTACTGCGGAACAGCCATTTGATATTTGATACAAGGACGCCCCAGGTACAAGCGCGGAAGGACGCAGAGGAAAGGGGGGAGAGAAATGGAGGGGGGAAATGGGGAAGGGGTTGGAGGATGAGGGTAGAAGGACTGGGAAGGAGATACGAATTGCGACAGCTTTTTGCGATTGGCGAAGTGGGACACGCGCTGGTTACCATTCTACACCGGTTGCCTGAGTGAGCGACGTAAGCTCTCGAACATTGCTGCTGGTAATCAGTCTCTCGTAGCCGTACTCAAAAGTTACTAATAGCCGACATGAATCTCGCACAGTGTAATAGTTTTTTTTTTTTCTACGCGTCTTGGAAGCTGCTGCCCATTCTTTCGTGGGTTACCACGCCTCGCACTCTTCGACACTATACAGCACGAAGATCGCTGAAATCACACGAGAAAACTCCGCCATACGGGATTTTGCGAGGATTGTATTCCGTTGCGAAGAATGATATCACTTTCCTGCGAATCACTTGGATCTGTGCAGCAGTCTTCCCATCGCCGCAACTACCCTATCGTACAAAACTTGCACTGGAGTATTCACAAGTACTCTAAAGCGCGGCATCACCTGGCAGCCTAAAACCTACTCGGGCCCGCGATCGGTTTGCGCTGCTCTTACATCACGCTTTTAATCTTTATTTCCTCCACTATTTTTCGGGGTGGGGGTAGGTATAGGTGGCACCTGGCAGCAGCAGCAGCAACTTACATCACTATTACTGAAAAAGAAGAAAGAGACGTCTCAAACTTCGCACGTACCCAGGTGCCGCCTGACAGCAGCCGCGACGGCATCGCGATCCGTCCACGCATGCGACGCGAGCGACCTATCGAGCGCCTGGCGCGCTTCTAAAAACGACATCGGCGACCGCGTCGCGCTTGTCGAGGCGAACACGTCACGCTCTTCGAGGCGCGCCTCGAAAAACCAAGTCACGCGTTCCTGCTGCTCGAGTTCTTAGTCGTCTTGGAAGAAGGGGCTCAGGGTGAAAGGCGGTTCTAGATGTGAGAATGAGGAGGAAAAACCTGTGGTCGACTGATACAGGTGATTGGAGAGTCGATTTCCCAGATGATCTGGGAAGGAGAGTCCAGTACAACAGGTTCAGCGTGTGTGTGAACTGCAAAGTAGGCAATTTTATTTTGCTGCAGCACAAGTTTTGTCTTCAGTCGCAGGTCTGTAATGCAGTAAAGCACAACTGAACCTGCTCGGCAGACACTCACGGTCGTAAAGAACTAATGCTCCACAGGAACTACTAAAACCAATCACTGTCAGTGAGTGAATCATTAGGAAGAGGAAAGGAAAATGGAAGAAATTTCCCCCCAGCAACAAGAGAAATGCTGCTTTCGGTTTTGACTGGGAGGAAGCGCAACTGCTTCTCGTGAACAGATGTTGAAGAGCGGGAATCGACGGAGCAGAGTCGCCATACATCTTCATCCACGGTCGTCCTCGACCCGCATTTTCGACTGATTTTGGACGGAACGAGACTGGATGAGGAGGGGTCGGGATGGGAACGGTTCGGGTCGGGATTCGGTCGGGACGGAAGTGAATGTATTTGTGCCTGAATGCTACGACAGGTTTGGGCGACTCGGGACTCGGGATTCTGGGTGCGAGATTTTGTGGCTGCAGTTTCGTAGCTGAAATTGCAAGAAAAGAAGGGGGGAAAGGGGAGGGGGGGGGTACAGTAGGCTAGGAGGAGGGTGCTTCGTTCCAAAAGTGAATTTGGTCCGTGCGATTTTAGCTGCCAGGTTCGGTCCATAAGAGAATGTGCCGGAGCTTTTTGTTCCGCCAATGGTGAGGCGCTCTACGCAACCCAAACCACCGCCAGTCACGGAAGCCGAGCAGCCAGCTTGTCGGTGTGCACGAGGAGTGCCCGGCCCGCCAGGTTGCTGGCTGATATTTCAGTTCATCGGGGGAAGAGCAAGTGACATGGCCGAATCGTGCCAACGGTCAGGATTCCCGCTCACACAATCAAGTACAGTGCGTCCCCCATCAATGCAATCTTCGTTAATCCGCGTTGACATACCCCCCATTGTGTTGTTCAAGGTACACAGAAACCTAACACCTTATAATCACTTGGCATGACTTCCTGGCATATCCCCTTGCTAAACAGCTTCACTAAACACCTTGTCTAACAGTCTACCCAACCACCCACTCTTCATCCCTGCACCAAATCCAAGTCAACCCAACTCAACCCCTTCCAGCACCGCACGTCACACTCGGGCCCATCCAACACTGTCAATCTCATTCCGTGCCTTGCGCAGCAGCTCCAGTCTCTTCCATGCGGCCTGCCTCCGAGCCATCACGTCCGGATCCTCATCTAGCAGCTTCGCCAATGCCTTTCCGTCCTCCCTGCCCACCATCGCATAGAACCTGTCCAGCAGCCGCCGCTTTGCCTCCCGGACCTGCAACGAACAAGCAAAAGGGCAGAAAAAAATAAGTTGGAAGGTCAATTAGTGCCTTCATTCCTGTCATCCCCACCCATTAAAGGTAAAGGGCAGAGATCTTGCTGAATCCAAGCATGGGCCATCTTGTTGAAGCAAAGTGGACTATCATACTTGGCTGTGGGCAACCCTACCTGATAATGCACGGCCTACCTGGCAATGCACCACAGCTTTGGGGATGGCACTTTTGAGTCGACTCAAAAATCGACTCATCTCAGGCAGTGGGCAACCCTACCTGATAATGCACGGCCTACCTGGCAATGCACCACAGCTTTGGGGATGGCGTTCTGCAAGCACTCCATGACCATGCCCACATAAGTTGACACGTTGGAGCCTGGAGAGGGGGGGGGGGGGCAAGAGTTGACAGAAAAGGGAGGGAAACCAAGGATGACTCCTGAGTTGACACGAAAAGCAGGTGGCAAATTGTTTTTGCACTGTCAAGCACTCCATGACCATGCCAAGCAGCAAAAGCCTCTTGATACAAAATTCGTGGGATAAGCAGAGACTTCTGAGGCGCCTCAAAAGTACGTCTGAGATTAGAAAAACCCACCGATTCTCCTGCAGTGCATTTCCTGGTATCGATCTGCCTTGGAGGCAGCCTCTCCCTGCTTCCCTTCAGCGCTTTGAGCTTGCCTCTCACACGCCAATGCATTCCCAGATACCCAAACTCACTCACTGACTTTTTCTGAAGTGCATTTTAGGAGGCTCACCAATTCTCCTGAAATGCATTTCCTGGTATCGATCGGCCCCTGTAGGCAGCCTGTCCCCACTGCCCTTCAGCGCCTTGATCTTGCTACTAATGCCACTCCCACTCCCCTTCTTCCCATCCTTCCCATCCTTCATATCCGGCCCATCCTCCAGATTCTCCAGCCCGGGCAGCCGCCGAAAAAACTCCACGGTCAGGTAACTCGTCTCCATCTCCACCAATCGCACGGTCAGCTTCCGGCTGTTCTCCCGAAAACTTTCCAGCGACTGGGTGGCAGCAGCTGACAGCTCAGCCTGGAGCGAGGGAAACCGGAGCAGCTCGGTGGTTTCCCCTACGGAGATGCGAACGAGGTCTCTGAGAATGAAATGCACCTCGTCCACCACTGCTTCGGCCGGCCCCTTGAACATGAGCAGCGCGCTCTCGATTAAGCGCCGGTAACCGCCCTCGGGAGCGATCAGATGCGGCTGGTACCCGTCTGCCTCCGCCACAATCCTCCTCACATCTGCCAGTTGTTGGGGCGAGGAAGGGGTTGGGTGGGTAAGGGGCCAGGAAGGGAGAAACCGCAGGAGCTGGGTGAACGAGGTCCCTGGGTATAAAATGCACCTCGGTCGTGCAAGGACTGGGAGATGGAAATCACGTACTCTGGATGGAGAGGTGCTTGTCAAAGGGAAGCTTGTTGAGTGCTGCTGGCAGCTTCGTCTCAAACACCGCATTGATTCGGTCGCCTCCTGGCCGACTGGTGAACACCAGCAGTAGGAGAAGGGAGAAGAGCAGGAGAACATAGAAGAGCCAGAGCAGAAGGGGGGTTAGCAAGATGAAGAAAAACGTGGAACCCTCCATCACGCCCCACACTATCCTTCTCAACAGCAGATGGATAGTGTGGGGCGTGATGGAGGGTTCCACGTGATGGATTAAGATATGATTAATATCAACCACCATGCACAGCAGATGACAGATCATTCACTACCACGCCTCCCAGGTGCTCCTTAAAAACCCTGATTTCCCTCGATTCTTGCAAGGCGCTCGGCACATGTCGGATCAGACGCAGGGTAATCTCAATACTTCTCTGCCAATACCCTAATTACCCTGAACACTTGTGAGGCGCTCGGCACATGTCAGACGCAGGGTAATCTCAATACTTCTCTGCCAATACCCTAATTACCCTGAACACTTGTAAGGCGCTCGGCACATCTCCCAGTGCAATGCAGCCCTCACTACCACATAACGCCTAGAACAGCACACAACCACCACACCCCGCCATCCAGGTGTTCATGGCACATCTCCCAATGCGATCCTCGCTAACTAACAAGGACAGCACCACACAGCACACACCCACCCTGCCCCACAACCCTTACCCGCCATCCAGGTGCTCCTTGAAAATCTTGTCAAATGCTCGGCACATCTCCAGCACCGTGTACAGCTGGGCCTGCGGCCCTTTCAATGCCTTAGCCCCAGCTCACCCCAGGACACACCCATCCACTCCACGAGCTTAACCACCCCACATACCATGCACGCACTTACCCGCCGTCCAGGTGCTCCTTGAATATCTTGTCAAACGCTCGACACATCTCCAGCACCGTGTACAGCTGGGCCTGGGCGCGGTGAGATGGGGTTCGGGACGGGGAGAGAGGGAGAGGGGAAATGGGGGATTGGTGGGGTGAGTGGGGTGTTGGGGAATGGTTGAATTGTTGGGGAACGAAAGAGCTGTTCATTCTGCAGTTGTTAGTACATAGAGAGGGGGAGGACAGGAGGTACATACCCTGACTGCACCTCGTCTCAAAATACCCACTCACCCCAGCTTCACTACCAATGGGCCGGCCCAGCGCGTTCATCTCCTTCTCAAGGTCGTCAATGTTGTTGTTGATGAGCGACTGGATGCAGAGGACCACAGGCAAGGCCCAGAGACGCACACTCTGGAGGCAAAGACAAATGCACTGACAGCACCTCTCTGGTGGTACTCTACTCACCCCGGCTTCGCCCCCAATGGGCCGGCCCAGCGCGTTCATCTCCTTCTCAAGGTCGTCGATGTTGTTGTTGATGAGCGACTGGATGCCCGGAATCTTGGAGCGAATCACTTGCTCCAGATGCTGCCAGCACAGCAGCACAGCATAGGAACATGACAGGTGAGGGAGTGCATGGTGAGGTGAGGGGGACATAGTAGAATCCATGAGAATCCGAGTCTTTGTTGATGAGCAACTCAATGCCCAGGATCATGGAGCGGATGACTTGCTCCAGATGCTGTCGGCACAGCAACACGGCGGCACGGGGAGGGGTCACGCAGAACGTGAGGGAGAGAATGTGATGAGGACACTGTGAATTCCATGAGAATCTGAGCCTGTGTTGTTGAGTGACTCAATCTCAATGCCCGGATGCCCGGATCTTGGAGCGAATGACTTGCTCCAGATGCTGCCAGCACAGCAGCACGACACGACACGACACAGTGGACATGGTGTCAAGGGCCCACGTGAGAGCGATGGCAATGAGGGTGCACCGAAATTTGAGATCCCTGGACTAATCATGCTTCAATGACATTTGACATGCACCAAGAGCCTTAAGGCCGGACCACCACTGCCCATGCAATTAGCCAGACACCAGTGGACGTACCTTAGAGAGCATCTTTGCGAGGTACTCAGTGCCCATGCGGTTGGCGAGATGTGAGTAATCGGCAGAGGTTTGGAAGTACTCCCTCTCCTTGCGGCGGGACGCCAGCATGTCCACGTTGCGGTTGATATCGGCCTGAGAACGGTTCACCACGCCCACCCACGGATACTTGAGCTTGTACGAGCGCCCCTCTAGCACCTGGTGGTGTGTGTGTGAGGCGTGTGCAGGGAGGGAAACGAAATAAGCGATCAAAGGCAGGTTCACCACACCCACCACTCGTATTTGAGCTTGTAGGGACGGCCTTCTAGCGCCTGGTGGTGTCTACAGCAGGGGAAAGAGCAGAGCTGACAACGGTCGGCAATAAAACGAGAGCGCAAATCTGGAGACTGGAGCACGAGAACACACATGGCAAGCTCTCAAATCATGCCCGAACTGTGGGCGTGGAGCACGGAAATCAGACAAAGGACATGCAGCAAGGGAAGGGCGGTGAGGGCGTACATCAAGAGCGTTGGTGCCCTTGTCCATGAGGTCGAGCTTGGTCAGCACACCCCATGTCCTCTCGCCTGCAGGCCACCACGCAGCACAGGGAGCACAGCGCAAAAGAAAGGGTTGAGCGGGAGAGTGGGAGAATCTCAAGAGCCTTGGTGCCCTTGTCCATGAGGTCGAGCTTGGTCAGCACACCCCATGTCCTCTCGCCTGCAGGCCACCACGCAGCACAGGGAGCACAGCGCAAAAGAAAGGGTTGAGCGGGAGAGTGGGAGAATCTCAAGCGCGTTGGTGCCCTTGTCCATGAGGTCGAGCTTGGTCAGCACACCCCATGTCCTCTCACCTGCAGGCCACCACGCAGCACAGGGAGCACAGCGCAAAAGAAAGGGTTGAGCGGGAGAGTGGGAGAATCTCAAGCGCGTTGGTGCCCTTGTCCATGAGGTCGAGCTTGATCAGCACACCCCATGTCCTCTCGCCTGCCAGGAAGGGGAACCAACGGGAACATACGTGGCTAGCTTGAAAGGGAGGGCGTACATCCGGGGCTACTTACCCAAGTTACCCCCAGGGTCGATCTCTCTCACCCTGCAAGTGGCATAGGAGGTGCCAATGCCTTGGCTGTTTTCAATGAGCCCCAGAGAAATTTACCCTAGCGAGTCATGGCTATGTACAGCTAGAAGATTCCGGCTAATTGCCCTCAGAATGGTGCACCCTCATGACCTCTTACCCTCAGGGTCGACCTCTCTGGCCATGCGCATGGCATCGGAGGTGGCAATGTCTTGATTGGCGGGAGATACAGCCAGGATGATACAGTTGGGCTGTAGGGGAGTGAGGGGAGGGTTGGGTTGAAGGCGCGAATTGCGGGATGGTGGAAATACTATGAAGGTTTGTATGTCAAATTAAACACACAATGCAAATGCATTCTTTGATAGGTAATGCAGCCAGAATGGCTCAAAATGGACGCTCCAACCCCCAAGCCCCCCCACACTTCATCCATCATACCCAACCTCCTACCTTGATCCATCGTTCCTCACCCCCAAACGCATCCCCATAACGAGCACTGCAATGGTTTATGAAGGGAGGCACACATATTGGCACCACCACTCTTCCCTTCCCCACACTCGCACTCACCTTCTCCACGTACTGCCGAACCATGTCCTCAATGTCCCTCACAATGCTCTCCGACTGGCCCTCTGCAATCATTCAGGCCACCAACGCCACCATCACAGGCACGCAACAAATCACCACCATCACATTGACACGCATACACAGGTGAAGCAATGATCAGATCAGACTTCACCTGCGAGGTCATCACAGGCACACAACGCACTGGAAACAACGCCACCTCTCAGGCGAGCCTGATGCTTTTTGAGACATTTCATAACTCAATGTGCTGTCCAGATCCACTAAGTGCTCCGTGTGAAATCACAAACCACGGAAGGGGCAGGGGTGGTGTGTGTGGGATGCAGGAGGAGGGGGTTGGGGGGGAGGAGAGGGGATTACAAATAGTGACACACCTGCATTAGCCTACCACCCAGTGTATCAAAAACAGCCATGCCCCAATGCTTGACAGCTCACCCACGGCAATCTTTGTGAGTCCGGGCAGATCCACCAGGGTCAGATTCACCACTGCAGAAACAGAGCAACAGACAGGAGCTCAGTCGGTTAACAAACAAAAGAAAAGATGGAGGCTCACAGAAAATCGTGGGTTTGCCTAACACAAAGGTAGAGAGGAGCACATGATGACTCGAATGAGAAAATCGATCATTGCAATCATTACACGTGGACACGGGTAGAAGGATGAAGGCTGAGGTGGATGGATGCATACCCTTGGGAGAGTAAATGCTGACGTGGATGGATGCATACCATTGGGAGAGTAGATGCTGAGGTGGATGGGGACAGGAGAGATCATCTTGGTCTTCCCAGTGATTCGATCCGTTTCATCTGCAACCTCCTTTCTTACAGCAGCTGCGGAGAAAGATGGAGAAATAATGGGGAAGACAAGGCATGACATGTTTATGAGAGACGACATGGGCCAAGAACATTCAAAAATGGTGGAATGACAACAAAGCAGCAGAATGGCATTGACAGGGTCGGGGCTGTAATAACTGATTCTGCCCTGGCCGCTCACCCCAGTCGGTGTACTTCTTGCCCGGCTGGTGCAGGAACTCCGCGTATTCAGATGATGAGTCCACCTTGTGCAGCTGCAGCACCAATGGCCGCCGGGTGACAATGCCTGCAGTCACCAGCACAGCAGAGCACAGCACAGCACAGCGCAGCACCGCACAAAACCACATAGCAAAAGACAGCACCACACACAGCATAGCACAGCTCATCACCGAACATCATACACCATCACCACATACAACGACACACATCACCATCACCCCAGCGGACGGTCATGATTAGAGCTAGCAAGAACAAGAAAATCATTAGCAAGATAGCGCGACGACAGAGACCAACACATACAAACACTTTATAGAGATCAGTCATCGCGGAACATGACTGAGGCATTTGTAAAACACCCGGACGGAAAAGGCAAGCCTTCGGCTGTTGCTATGACAATATACCTGATCCTCGAGGAAGGAAATCCTTTCCCACAATGCTCTCTAGCACCGACGATTTTCCCGAACTCTGCCACGTGATGGGAATGGGATGGGAGCGGGATGGGAGCGGGATGGATGGAGAAGCTAAGCGGGGACATTGTAGGAGGACATCGTCGCAAGAGTCGAGACTATGCCTGAACGACAACGTGCAGAGAACAGTCTACAGTGAAATATTATGATATAATCTCTGTGGTCATATGGAGGTTCTCTTTGTCCCTGTGCAAAAGCCTCTAATCGAATGGGCCATCGCCAAATCCAATACAAGGATCGTCATCGCCAGCATCAGATTTGGCAACCCGCTATACATACCTCGGGTTGACACACGCCGACAGAGGACGAGTCAGAAATGCACCAGAATATGACCGTGAAGGAAACACATTTATTGGAATGAGATTGTGAACCAGGACCCTGACCTCCCACCACAGCCACCGAAACGACTTTCTAGTCCGGTCAAAGGCAGCCTCGAACTGATAATATTTTCGACGCGCGTAACTATCCGCCTCACCTGACCTCCCACCACAGCCACCGACGGAAGCTGCTCCCAGAGCGTCGGCAGCGCGTCTTCAGCGCTCGACACGCCATAGTCTCCTAATACCGTGCACGCCTGCTGAAGCCGATTCACGAGACCTATCAGATTATCCATGTGTCCTTATTTCCGACAGCCTCGTTAGTAGAGAAAGAACAACGTTGTAAGTCCGAGTCGTGGTTCCTGAAATTTGCCGATGCTAATGGGTATCGACTCAGAAACAAGACGCTGACTATCTCGTCGGAACAAGAGGGGTTGAAAGCGGAAAATGGAAGAGAATAGCGTCAAATCCGCTTCAGGAAAACTACACAGAGGACCGACAAGCGAGAAGCTGCGCGTATGTCGATCTGCTACCACGGTGATGGCGAGTGCCGTGTGCGATCTGTTTGTACTGCCTCATAATATTCTTCGTGTGGTGTTCTTCAAATGAAAGTGCCCAGTCCAGTTTCACCCCTCGGGATTTGGTTTCAGCTGATCCTTCCCCAACCTCCTGCTCCTCCTGCCTGCCGAACAGGACCTTGGAGTTGGATGGAACAGGAACTTTCGGAATACCGCGGCTGATGAATCACAAATTCGTCGCGCCGCATTCCACCGAGAGAAAGTCTGCTATTTCGCCGCTCTTTTCCGGCTGGGGGCAGACTGTGGTGGGGGGAATCTCAGCGCCCCTGTCAGGCTGTTGGCGGGGATTGGATGGTCGAATGGCAGTTTCTAGGAGGTTGCTCAATAGACCGATTCCGCCCGCAACAGTAGCAGCAGTACTGTATCGAGTAGATTCCGTTTGGAGAGCAGAAATAGTTTCTAAGCATACGTATTTGTTCTCACTCTGTCCATATACCAATTCATTTCAACATTCTGCTACGCATTTTTCCACCTTTACATGAAAGTAGTGCCCTTTTTCCGCCAGTGCGCTTCTCCCCCCTTTGCTCCTTGCGCTCTCCCTCCTGCCCAACACTGCCAAACGTGGATATCTGCAGCACACTGAACTGCGTGCCGAAATCTCAGATTCCCTCGAAACCCCGCCCAACCGTGCTACTATCTGACAGTATCGCTTTGCCGCGCAGATCATCTCAAAAAACCACACTGGAGGAAGTTCTCATGAAACACTTCCACGATCAACTCGCGAAATGTATCCTAGATTCCATCAGACGGGTTCAATCAGGGCATTCGGCAGAACCAGTGGTGGTAGCTTGTTCAGTGAAAGCTCTTGAAGTCTGGTTCTGCCAATCCAAGGCTCGTCTGGCTTCGCAATAGAAATTTACGTTCTTATGGTCTCGCTTTATCTGGACACGATGCTCCGCAAATTTTAGATTGCTCGTTAGCATCGTCCATTCGATATCTTGGGCTGTCATTCGAGTTCTTCATGCCTCCGATCCAGGCCAGGGCTCTCGGGTGAATCCAGTCCGTCTACTCCCCAAGCGCTGTCATTACAATAAATCGTTTTAGACTCTACCGTCGCTCGCAGCCATGGACGATCTGATCTCGTTAGGCGAGACGCTTCAGCAGGCGTCGTCAGCGCTCGTCGGCGATGACCTTCCGGACCCCGACGATTCGCGGTCCAGCAGCGCCTCCTCCTCGCCCGTCATTCAGCTCGTCGTGCTCGGTGCTCCGGTCAGTTCCGTGCCTTCGCAGTCAGTTCCGTGCCTTCGCAGTCAGTTCCGTGCCTTCGCAGTCAGTTCCGTGCCCTTTTCAGTCAGTTCCGTGCCTTCGCAGTCAGTTCCGTGCCTATTTCAGTCAGTTCCGTGCCCTTTCAGTCAGTTCCACGCCTTCTTACCGTTCCCTTCCCAAAAGCTTCGTTTGTGCCGTGATCTATACATAAAAGCTTCGTTCGTACTTTTCCCCGCGAGCTTTTTTCATACCATTTAATCTTCCTCGTACTTTTTTAGCGTGTGCGATCAGCTCTTCTATAGGCGGCTCAAAGTACAACGTTGTGGAATCAGTTAGTATTTGATGCCATCTCTACAGTACTTTCTCTCCGTTTCTCCAGCTACCCCTCGCACTACCCCTCGCGCCAGAGGTAAACAGTGTGACCTGAATCCCGATTGCCTCACCACACTGCACAAACTCGTTCGGTTCCGATCACCTCACTACACTGCACAAACTCGTTCGGTTTACCTGCCATTTTCATCCGCCACACACTTGCACCCCTCCAGGGCGCCGGAAAATCTGCCGTTCTCAACACCCTCATTGGCCATGCCGTTCTTGTAAGTCACGATACACCACAGTCGCTATAATTCCATTCAGTCGTGTCACATGTTCAGTTCAATTCAGTTCAGACTTGGTGGTTGTGGCATCTCACGGCAAAGGCACCCCACCAACCTCAGGTTGGCATGTTTGTTACTCGACTCAATGACATGTTTGTGCTGCCTGCGAGCCCCATTGCAGCCAACGGCTGAGGGTGGAGCCACACGCTTCCCTGTTCTGGTGGACCTACAACGGGACCCCAACCTGGGAGTAGGCAGCATCCGAGCGAGTCTCGGACCGCGAGCCAACATGCGGAAACCCTGTGAGTAGCAACACCTTGCTTTTCCTTCCTCTCCCACTTATCCTTTCCTGTTCAAGCTCCTTTTGTTTTTTGTTTTACGTGCTGTTTTTCTCTGCTTTCAGCAAGATAGACGCCCTTTAAGGCAGTTGACTCTGTACAACTCTCCTGCCGTCCATCTGTGTGTGTGTCACCATTCGCACTGGCAGCAGCGTCGGGCGGAGCAACACCACAGGAAGACCACAGATCCTCGTCTGCAACTCCTGCTTCGTCAAGAAGAGTGAATTGTTCACCACCACCCTTCTGACTCTGGCCTTCTCCCTCGTCCACCTGTGCCTCGCTCTTTGTGTGTGTGTGTGTGTGTGTGTGTGTGCGCGTGTGTGCGTGTGTGTGTGTGTGCGTGTGTGTGTGTGTGTGTGCGTGTGTGTGTGCGTGCGCGCGCGCGCGTGTGCGTGCGTGCGTGTGTGCGTGTGTGTGCGTGCGCGCGCGCGTGCATGCGTGCGTGCGCGTGCGTGCGTGCGTGCGCGCGCGTGCGTGCGTGTGTGCGCGTGTGTGTGTCACCACCACCAGCGGAGGTGCGGCAGGCGCTGGTAGCGGATATGGCACAGGCCAAGTCCAAGTCAAGGAATCGCCAAGAGGCGCACCTCATCCTACGCTCGCCAATTGGTCAGTCCCCCACCTGACGTCCCTTTTCTACACTGTCACCCTGATGGAGTCCTCCGTCGCTCTTTCTTCCCTTTGTTCGCCCATGAATCTGTCTTCTCTCTCTCCTTTGCTGGGCGTCTTTGTTCCCTTGACTCCCCTGTCCTCTCTCTTCCTTTCCTGAGTTATTTCTCCTGCAAGCTGGACTCTCTCAGGACTGCCTCTGCTCCCTTTTCACTCTGCATCTGCAGTTGTGTTTGCGCGCCTGTCATACCTGCCATTGCCCATAGTCTCTCCTCCTTAGTTTTGTCTGCTCATCGTTTTCTCTTTCCCTCTTCCCCTTCCCCCTGCAGCACCTCCAATCCGTGTGACGGATCTTCCCGGAGTCGAACGGTCGTCAGACCTTGATGGCACAGTGAGTGCCCTTTGTGCACTTCGGTTTCCAATTATTTTATTTTGTTTTCTGTTACAAAGGAGACGGAATAATGCTATTCTGTGCATGTGTGGGTTGGTGAGTCCCCTCGTCTCATCTTCCTTTCACTTCTCTTGCGGCCTCGTCTCATTGGCACACCACTGCTATTTGCAGCGCTGGGATTGGGAGCTCTTTCTCCTCCCTTTCCTTTCTAATGACGTCATGTCATGGGTGTGCCAACATGGACCGGGGCTGCTGCTGCTGCTGCTGTTGCTGCAGCAGTGGTTCCCTTGGGTGGGCTGAATTCATTGGCAGCAGCACCCGTCCTGAAGATGATCATTACGATCAAGTCAGTCGGTGCACCTGTGGCTGCTGATGCCAGACTCCCACCCACACTGCTGCAGTTGTTCCCGTGGTTGGGCTGAAACACAGGGCCTTCCACACCACGTCGTATCATCCGTCATGCTTCCTTCTCAAACCCCTTCATGTTTCCTTCCCCCGTCCCTCCATGCGCATGGGCGTTTCTCCCACTTTGCCTCCACTCCAGCTGCAAGACAACGTGTCCAACCAGGAGGCCATCATCCTCGTGGTCATCTCTGCCACGCGCGTCAAGGACTCGCTCAAGCTGCTGCGCTTAGCGCATGACATCGACCGCGATGGTACGCTTGTTTTATAGCATGATCATTCTCATGGTAAGTGTGATCTAGCATGGTGAATCTGCTCCTGCTGCTGCTGCTCCTCCTCGTGGTCATCTCTGCCACGCGCGTCAAGGATTCGCTCAAGCTGTTGCGCCTAGCACATGACATTGACCGCGATGGTAAGTCTGTTTATTGCGTGGTCAGCTGCTTGCTTGCCATCATTGCTGCCACGCGTGTCAAGGACTCCCTCAAGCTGCTGCGCCTAGCACATGACATTGACCGCGATGGTAAGTCTGTTCAAGCTTGGTCTGCGCCTCCTTTTTTCTTCTCCCCCTCTCCTCATATCTTCTCCATCTCTGCTCCCCACCCACCCACCCCTCTCTTTCCCTCCACCCATATAGTTATTTCCTTGCCTCCCGCCCAACCTTCCCCCTTTTCCCTCCCTCTTCCCCCCCAGGGGCGCGCAGCATAGGCGTGATAACGCAGTTTGAGCGGGTGGTATCAGACAAAGCAGCCGCCAAGCTCGCACTAGAGCTCCTCCAGGGGCAGGGCGCGGCCATGTCACAGGACTACCTGTGGGTGCCGGTGCTGGGGCAGCCCCTGGGGGACGCGGACACAAAAGCTTCCCTCCCACTTGCCTATTCTCCCTCGTTTCCCTCCCGTTTTCTCTCCTCGCACCCAACTCCACCCCACTGCCCCTACCCTCACCCCCCTCACCCCCCCAGGCGCGCGCAGCATAGGCGTGATAACGCAGTTTGAGCGGGTGGTATCAGACAAAGCTGCGGCCAAGCTCGCTCTAGAGTTATTACAAGGGCAGGGCGCGGCCATGGCACAGGACTACCCGTGGGTGCCGGTGCTGGGGCAGCCACTGGGGGACGCGAACACAGATGCTCCCATGGACGAGGCGTGGCAGGGCGAGCAGAAGGCCCTGGCGAGTGTGATGCGGGCGCTGGGCGTGAAGGGCATGGAGGGGTCCATGGGGCGCGATGCGCTGCTGCGCATGATTGCCCGGACCATGCGAAGCAAGATGAAGGAGAAGATTCCGCGGATCATGGCCGGGTGGGTTTGGGTGGGTGGGATGCTGGGGTGGGGAGGGCTGTGGGTGACTTTTGAGTCGACTGAAATTGATTGCCAGGACAATGCGGCGAAAGATGAAGGGTAAGATTCCCAGGATCATGGCCGGGTGGGTTGGTTGGATTGGAGGGGTGAGTGGGTGGGCAAGTGGATGGGCGGACCGCGCTCAGTGGACGTGGAGTCAGAGTTGCTGCAGCACTCCCATTGCTGAGTGTGCCTTCTCATGAGTGCGCGCGATTCTCACTCTCTTCTCCGATTCCCTTCCCACGGCCTGCAGTTGCGGTCAGTGGACGTGGAATCAGAGCTGCTGCGTCTGGGCGAGTCACTCGTATCCGACCCGCAGAGCTCATTTTGTATCTCCTGGGTCTGTGCAGTTCGCGCTTGGTCTCCTATTCCCTTCTGATTCTTCCCATCTTCCCACCCACAGCCTGGAGTCGTGCTCAGTGGATGTGGAATCAGAGCTGCTGCGCCTGGGCGACTCCCTCATATCCGACACTGCAGGGCTCTCAAGCTGGTCTCAGTTATTGTTATTCACTCACTCCTTTATGCCCCTCTCCCACACCACCATCTCCCCTCCGCACAGCCTGGAGTCGCGGTCAGTGGACGTGGAATCAGAGCTGCTGCGCCTGGGAGAGTCCCTCATCTCCGACCTGCAGGGTTCCAGGGCTGTGGCTCTGGAGCTGTGTCGCGGGTTCGAGACGCGCTTCATTGAGCACCTCGACGGCTGTGAGGTATGTTGTGTTTGTGGGGGGTGGGGGATGTAGGCGGTGCTCTAGAGAGCCACTAGCCGGGAATTTCTAAAATGGTTTGTTGTTCGTAAGCTCTTCCTTGGTTTGTCCTTTATCAAGTGTGTCCATGTATGGTTCTGCGAAGTGGATTGAAAATCCTTTCTGCTCATGTGCTTGCCATGTTTCATGATGGAGGCTGTTTTGAGTCAACTCAATCATTGATTAATTGTCTACGTGTTTTTTTTTTTTTCAGGGCGGAGGCTCTCAGATGGTTGAGAAGTTTGTCGGCACGCTGCCCCTGAGATTCCGAGGCCTGCCATTGGACGAGATGTTCAACTTTGACAACGTCAAAAAGGTCAGCCAGGCAGCATAAAAGGAGCTCAATCTTGATTATTTCCGTTCCACTTGTCAACTCTGCCGTCTTTGCTATCCCTGCATTGACCTCGTCCCTCCTCCTCCTCCTCCTCCTCCTCCTCCTCCTCCTCCTCCTCCTCCTCCTCCTCCTCCTCCTCCTCCTCCTCCTCCTCCTCCTCCTCCTCCTCCTCCTCCTCCTCCTCCTTCTCCTCCTTCCTTATTTCCATCCTGTTCTTGCAAGCTTTCCCCCTCTGAACTCCCCCTGCCCTCCTTCTAACCGTTGTCTACCGCTGTCCACCGTTGTACACCATCCATCCATCCACCCAATTGAACAATTTCCCAGGTGGTAGCAGAAGCGGATGGGTACCAGCCATACGTCATCTCCCCAGAAAAGGGTCTGCGTCTGCTCATCAAGCGCAGCCTCAACCTGGCCAAGCAGCCAGGCCTAGACTGTGTGGATGAGGTGAGAAACGGATCGCAGGGCAGATTGTGTGAACGATGTGACCCGGGGGAGATGAGGTGCCTGCCCAGGTCTTCCTCTGCCATCAAGCGCAGCCTCAATCTCGCCAAGCAGCCAGGCCTAGACTGTGTGGATGAGGTGAGGAAGGTGGTTGAGGGTGGTCGTTGGCACGTATTTTCCCGCTTTCACTGGTCTGCTGCAAGGGACTGGTCCGAATCTTGACAGTCATTCTTCCCTTTTTTCTGCAGCAACCTTGACTTTCTCCTGTCCTTCCCTTAACTTTCCGATTTTCTATCAGGTGCACAGGAATCTGTGGAGACGCGAGCCGTTTCAAAACTCGTTGCAGCTTCAGTCTTTAACGTCCTTCCCATCCTCTGTGCATCTGTTGCATTTCTTTGACTTTCCTTGACCATCTTATGCCTTTGTTCAGGTGCACAAGACTCAGCTCGACATTGCCGTTGCAGCATTAGGCCTAGACTCCCTTCCCGTCCTCCCTTTGGCCTGTCAGCTACGTATTTTGCCGCCCTTCCTCTGCCTCCCTTTGTTCAGGTGCACAAGATTCTGCTAGACATTGTTGTTGCAGCAGCAGCAAGCCTCCGGCCTTGACGTCCTCCCCATCCCCCGATTGAATTTCCGTGTCTTTCCTTGACCATCCTCTGTCTCGCTCTGCCTCCCTTTGTTCAGGTGCACAAGATCCTATTGGACATTGTTGTTGCAGCAGCGTCCACTGCTCCCTCCCTTGTCCGCTTTCCTCCCATGAAGAAAGAGGTCAGCTCCCATGTCATCCCGTGCCGTGCCATGCCATGCCATGCCATCCCGTGCCGTGCCATGCCGTGCCGTGCCATGCCATGCAATGCCATGCCATGACATGCTGTCCCTCGCCTCTTTGCCCCGTTTCGCCTGGTTCCTCCCCTCTCTAAAGGCAAAGAACACCATTTTGCATTCCCCTATCCCAACTTCTTGTCCGCCCCTCCCTGCTCCACCCTGAAATCTCCAGCCCCGCCCTGTTCCACCCAATTGTTTGTCCCTTCCCACTCCAGCTAGTGGCCATAGCATCAGCAGCGTTGGACGAGTACAGGGCAGAGGCGAAGGTGATGGAGATGGTGTTCATCCCTGCCCTCCATACTCCCTTCTTCCCCTGCTTTTACCTATCTATTGCAGCTGGTTGCAATCGCGTCAGCAGCGTTGGACGAGTACAGTGCAGAAGCAAAAGTGATGGTGACGCCGCTGGTGGACATGGAGAGGGTCTTCATCCCTGCTGTTGCTGCTCCCTTCTCCCTCTTCTCTTCTCCGTCTCCTACTCCCTTCTCCCTCTCGTGTCTGGCCTACTCTGCTCCAGCTAGTAGCCATTGCGTCAGCAGCTCTGGACGAGTACAGGGCAGAGGCGAAGGTGATGGTGATGGCACTGGTGGACATGGAGAGGGTCTTCATCCCCTCCTGCGTCACTCCACCCCTCAGGCTGAACCTAACTCTCTCAACCTATTCCCCACAAACCCTCCAATCTCCAGCTAGTGGCGATTGCGTCTGCAGCGCTGGACGAGTACAGGGCAGAGGCGAAGGTGATGGTGACGGCGCTGGTGGACATGGAGAGGGTCTTTATCCCTGCGACGCACTTCATTGAGGCAGAGTACAAGCGACAGGAGACGCTGTTCAAAGAAATGACCAACGCGCGCAAGTCCGCATCTAGAGCGGTGAGAAAGGGGGGATGGGAGAGCTATGAGGAAAGCAGGGTGCATGGGGTGAGGAGTTGGTGTCTTATTGGACAAAGGAGGTGTCATGCCTTGGGGCTCGATTCTGACCTCCTGATGTTCCCTCTTCTTCCCCTCCGTGTCAGAAATAGAGCTTGACTGATTGATTATAATAGAAGGCACTCGGCCTTAAGTACAAACAAGGTTGGGTTGAGCAAAGCTAAGGAAAGGTGATGGAAAGCGCGTGAATCTGGAGAGTGTACAAGAGATCAAGTCCGCCGACTTCGACGGAACATTGCGTGCAGCTCACGCAACCTTAAACTATGAGCAGGTACGCGATGGAACGGTCTTAATCTCTACTTTCCAGAATGGTAACGCACGTTTTCAACCAAGATCTAGGTCGATTGCTATCGCGATTTAAGTGCGACGATGTATTCTGGCGGAATTAGTAGGCAGCCATGGATTAGACCAAAAGACTAGCTTTAGCAAGAGTTCAGATCTGAAAAGTGACGAGTTGTTCAAACCCTACCAACCCAACCCTTGCCCTACAACAATCCCCAACAACCCAAAGTGCTAAACTAGCAACACCAAAGGTGTTGTAGTGAATAGCAAAGGTTTGTTGGTGCTTGTTGGGTGCGAGATCAATACCAGCCCGCAACAAGTCTAACCACCACATTTTGCCCAAACCCTTAGCCCACAACCAGCTAGAGCAAAATACGAGAACCACCTACACAATCAACACTCCCCCTTGCTCATGCTGGAGGTGGCTGAACACCACTGGGCAAAATCCTTCACTTCACTCCCCCTTGCCCAGGGAAGGGCGCCATCCACAGCATGAGGTCGTCAATGCAGAGAAGCACCAGTCCTCCCACATCCTGCTCAGGCACCATGCTGACATGGGGCTGCATCCCCATCAAGGACATGCACACACCATGCCGCTCAAAAACGAGGGGTTTGGTGAGTATATCTGCTGCTTGACGGTTGGTGGGGCACCACCGGAGGATCACCTCGCCGCACGCCACCATCTCCCTGATGAAATGCCACCGAACCTGCATGTGCTTGGTGCCACCGAACTTGAGGTACCACTGCCTTGGAGCTTGCTTTAGCCCATAGATTGATTTCTTGAGTCGCTAAACTCTGCCGAACCCATCATCAAAACCAGGTGGCTGCCTCATGTAAAGCTCCTCCTTCAAGACCCCATGAAGATAAGCAGTGGTCACATCCATGTGATGGATGTCAGACCCCGAGGATGCTGCCATCCCAAGGCAACCTCTCAGGGTGGTAGGTTTACCCACCGGGGTATATACCTGGTCGTAATGAACGCCTCGTGTTTGAGTGTTCCCCATGGCCACCAACCTGGACTTGGGCCTCTCAATACTCCCATCAGCCATGTGCTTGTACTTCCACACCCACTGACACCTCAAGACCTCCATTCCAGGTGGCACACAAGCTGGATCAACCAGCTCAAAAGACTCGTTCACCCTGTGAGACTCAAGCTCCTCACGCATGGACTCGACCCACTCAGGACAGGACAAGGCCTCCTTGACCGACTTAGGCTCATGCACCTGACCCATGAGACAGAAATCAAGCCCAAGCTCACCCCTAGGGATGAGCATAGGGACCCGGCGGGTCGGGTCGACCCGACCCGACCCGGGTTTTGACCCGGGTCGGGTCAGGAGTTCTGAACCACTGACCCGGCCGGGTCGGGTTGGGTATACCCGGCCGGGTCGGGTCGACCCGTGACCCGATTCCGGGTCGGGTCGGGTCGGGTCGGGTTTTGACCCGATTATGGACTCGACCCGGTTTCGGGTAGCGCCCCCTATCTCGGGTCGGGTATCTGGCCCGACCCGAGGGTTTCCTCTCGACAATGTTATCCAGATCGCAATCGCGCTTGCTTGTTTTCCCAGCAACTAGCATTCCGATCTGGATTAAGTTAGGTTATCTAGCTAGTGACGCCATCAGCCACCCACCAAACAACATTGGCGTACTAATCTACCCTAGAACCCACGATAATGTTTAGTTAGTACTCAGCCAATCGCACTTCGCACTTCGCGCCATCCATCCTAGGGTTTCTTTTAAATCCGAAATTTACAGGTCGCGCTCCCACCCTAGGCGCGCGCATTGCAGGCCCGCGTTTTAGGGCATCTCGGCGCGCCGTGCAGGCGCAGGTCGCTAGACCCGCGCCCCTACACATTATTAAGGAGAACCTTCAACCCTGCCTATGGGAGTCGGCCCGACCCGACCCGACCCGACCCGGGGGCGGGTCAAGCCTGACCCGGCACCCGCGGGTCGGGCCAGAGATCTCAAAAGTTCCGACCCGACCCGACCCGACCCGGAACCCGGCTGGCCCGCCAAAGTCGGGTCGGGTCGGGTCGGGTCGGGTCATTTGATCATACCTACTCACCCCCCTCAGCATCCACAAGCATGCACTCGTCCATATCATGCACCTCATGATCATGCATGCAAGCATACTGTGCACTTGGTGTGAACCTTTCGGGTGGCCGGGAGATGCGTGTGGTGCGGCGCAGAGGTGATGCCTCCCCCTGCTCCAAACTTTGCAGCTTCTCCTTCCAAGTCACTCTCTTCATGGGGGACCGTGGTGACTTGGACAGCTGCTGCTGCAGTATTGTCACCGAATATAATGGTAAGTACATCATATTCTGGACATACGCTAATTGAGGTGTAGAAGTGCTGTAGCAATTGCTATTCAACCTATAGGGGAGGTAGTTGGGTGTTGGGAGAAGCGAAGGGTTGGTAGCATTGGGGGTTGCAGGGTGCTGCGGGTGCAATTCCAGGGACATTGGGAGACAGGAAATCTGGTGAGGGCCAATCCAAGGCCCAGGCGGCTCGGGCCCAACCCATCACGCAGAGAACTGTGCGACTGGGAAGCCAGGCACAAGTAGCCTAGCCTAGCAAAGCAATCTTGTTCTCTCGACTTGTTTGCCTCATATAGTGGATAACGTTGCCGCAACAAGGCTACTCTAGCTAGGTGACTACGCCACTGTGGGCAGCCATCGTGTGGGAGAGTGAACCTCTCACAAGTCGAGAGAACCAGGGCCGGCGATATGGATCGCCATGAGCTGCGCATGCAGCAAATGTTTTCGCGGCGGGAACGCTCTCCGTCGCGAGGGAGGCGCTCGCAGGAGCGCGGGAGGTCGCCGACGCGCTCGCCACGACGGGCGGCGTATCGCGCAGATCTGGTTACGCCCGTGGGCGTGCGTGCTAAAGGACGCGGAGTGGATCTGTACATCAGATCGGAGCCGAGAAGGCAGCCCGCAGCCATCGATCCGTGGGATCTGGCAGGAGGCCAGCACGGAGTGGATGACGACGTGGACATGGATGCGCCAAGCGTTGACGGTGAAGAGGAAGAGCTCGACGGAGACGATTCCCCTGCTGCGCGGGGAGGCGGGAGGCGCGTTGGCACCGATGGAGACGATTCCCCTGCTGCGCGGGGAGGCGGGAGGCGCGCTGGCGCCGACGGAGACGATTCCCCTGCTGCGCGGGGAGGCGGGAGGCGCGTTGGCGCCGACGGAGACGATTCCCCTGCTGCGCGGGGAAGCGGGAGGCGCGTTGGCGCCGACGGAGACGATTCCCCTGCTGCGCGGGGAGGCGGGAGGCGCGCTGGCGCCGACGGAGACAATTCCCCTGCTGCGCGGGGAGGCGGGAGGCGCGTTGGCGCTGACGGAGACGATTCCCCTGCTGCGCGGGGAGGCGGGAGGCGCGTTGGCGCCGACGGAGACGATTCCCCTGCTGCGCGGGGAGGCGGGAGGCGCGCTGGCGCCGACGGAGACGATTCCCCTGCTGCGCGGGGAGGCGGGAGGCGCGCTGGCGCCGACGGAGACGATTCCCCTGCTGCGCGGGGAGGCGGGAGGCGCGTTGGCGCCGACCGAGACGATTCCCCTGCTGCGCGGGGAGGCGGGAGGCGCGCTGGCGCCGACGGAGACGATTCCCCTGCTGCGCGGGGAGGCGGGAGGCGCGCTGGCGCCGACGGAGATGATTCCCCTGCTGCGCGGGGAGGCGGGAGGCGCGTTGGCGCCGACGGAGACGATTCCCCTGCTGCGCGGGGAGGCGGGAGGCGCATTGGCGCCGACGGAGACGATTCCCCTGCTGCGCGGGGAGGCGGGAGGCGCGTTGGCGCCGACGGGGATGATTTCCCTGCTGCGCGGGGAGGCGGGAATGGAGAAAGAATGGGAGAGGGTGACGGACAGAGGCATCGCGAGAAAGCATGGAACGAGGAAAGGGGAAGGAGGAAGGAAGAGCGCATGCCTGGAGCACGGAAAAGAAATGATAGGGAGCAGGGCTGGGGTGAGGGAGTTGAGCGCCAGGCCACAGAACGTCAAGGGAAAGAAAGGAGCCATGGCGCACCTGCTGGAGCGTTCCACTCGCCCGACCCGAGGCAGGGGTATGAGCACAAGCGGCGTATGGCGAGAGGCGACTGGATAGGCTTAGGACTGCCGAGGAGGGGAGAGCGATGCGGTGCTAAAGAAGGAGGCAGGTGGGGCCCACAGGAAAGAGGAAGAGAGTGGAGGCGCGAAGAGGATAGGCGAGGCAGGAGAGAAGGTGTGCGGTCACCAGAAGTCTCGAGGGCAGCAGGGAAGGAGCGACAGCGAGAGGGCAGAGTGCGGCGGTACCAGGAGCGGTCCCCTGCGAGGGGAGAGAAGCATCAGGAAGATCCAGAGAGGCGCTGGGAGGAGCGTGAAGATGCCCGAGGGAGGAGCCCTAGCCTGATGGGCCCGAGGAGGCCTGGGCGTCACGACGAAGGATCTGCGGGAGCAAGAGCGGCTAGGGAAGGATTAGAGCGAGTGCTGTACGGAACCAGCACGGGCAGCAGGGGAGAACAGGAGAGGAGGAGAGGGGTTATGGTGTCTGAGCGAGGAGGGACGGAGAGCAGGGAAACAGGGAAGTGGGGCGCAACAGCACAGCCGCGAGTGGAGGTGCCAGTACGCTTCACGGGAAACGAGAAAACCGGCCCAAGTTTGAAGAATTACTTGATGCAGATCAGCAATGTTAAATACCGATGCGACAGAAGCGGGATGGACCCGATCGAGTTCTTCCTGAGCCTGCCTAGCACGTTGGGAGGGGAAGCAGAGACTCTGTATCGCATGAAGATTGGTGAATGGCTGAGGAGGGCAGAAGAGGATGACGAGGACCCGACGGTACTGTTCCTGGAGCGCCTAAGGAAGCAGTTCCCTGGGCATACGGCGGTGCGCATCAGGGAATTTCAGGAGTTTAGGCGGAGGGATGAGGAGTCACTGCTGACATACTACGGACGGTTAACGAACCTGGCGGAAGATGTGGTGTGCACGGACAGCAGCATGATCATTAGCAAGTTTCTGAACGGTTTAGACAAGGGATTGGCAGGAGGGTTGAGAATGAGAGTCTATGAGCTAGGAGCAGATGCAACACCAGAGGAGGTGTTCGAGTTAGCGGAGCGGGTGGAGCTCGCGCAGAGGAAGTACGAGGTATACCTGCCAAGAACGATAGAAAAGAGGAGTCCTACCTGGGCAGCGGCGATGATATCAGGGGAGGGAACAGGAGAAGAGAGCAGGCCGGAGAAAAGGACGGAGACACGCACCTGTTACCGGTGTGGGCAGCCGGGGCACATAAGGATGCACTGCAGGAACTGCGATGTATGTGGGAAGCCAGGGCACCGCCGAAGGGACTGCCCGGAGGCACCGGCATGTAAAGAGTGCGGGGAAAGGGGGCATGAGGCAAGGGACTGCGATAAAGGGACAGGCGGAAGGAAAGGGTCAGCAGAGGAGATTGAGAGCCAGATAAGGAAATTGCGGGCGGAGTTGCAGGCACTGGGAGGAAGTAAGGAGAAGGAGGCTGGGTTGTACGTGAGGGAAGAAGGAGCAGAAGAGGAGGAGGGGCAGGAGCCAGAGTACACATGCCTGGCGTTACGTAGCCATGAGGAACTGGGTCTGCGCAGTGGGGGCAGAGACGGAAGGAAAGGGCGGGCGCTCAGAGAAAGAACAGAGAGGCAGGTGGGGTTGTATGCAAGGGAGGAAGAGGAGGAAGAGGAAAAGGAGCAGGAGCCAGAATATTCCTGTGCGGTGCTTCGTAGCAGTGAAGTCATGGGGCTGCGCAGTGGGGGCAGGGACGGAGGAAGGGAGCGAGCGACGAAGGTGAGGGCATGGGCAGTGGCAGAAGGGGAAGAGAAGGACGAGAAGGAGGAGGCGGGAGTGTGCGAATTAGTAGCAGCAGGCATTGAAGGGAAGAATGAGGAGGTGAGGGAATGGGCAGCCACAGAAGGGGAAGGGAAGAATGAGAGAGAGGGGACCTGGGCGTGCGTACCAGCAGCCACGGAAGCAGAGGAGAAGGACGAGCAGGTGGGGGCAGGAGTGAGCGAACTTGCGGCAGCAGAAGTAGAAGAGGGGGACGCAGAGGCAGGGGCAAGGCCGTGTGTACCAGCGGCAGCAGAAGCGGAAGGGAAGGGTGAAAAGGAGGGAGCGGTGAAGAAAGGAGGGAAGCAGGGGCAGAGCAGTACAGACATGGGAGGGAGTGGTCGACAGCCATCGCCAAGGACAGCGGAGTTGTTCAGGGAAATCAGGGCAGGGGCAAAGACTGGCGTGACAATGAAGGATCGGATGCAAGCAGAGGAGCAAGCGCAGGGAAACAAGCTGGCGGAGCAGCATGTGAGGAAGGTGCGGGGAGGAAGGCCAGAGCTGCTGGGGGAAGCAGAGCAGGAGAGTAAGGAAGTGGGGGCAGGGGAGCCCCTAGCAACAGGGGAAAAGGCAGACCATACAATGGAAGAAGCGGAGAACCGGGCGGCATGGGAGCGAGCTAAGGCAACGGAACACTTGGAGGAGGTGATACCGGTGGCGGTGGGGGACCTACATACCGTGCAGTTGAGGGATGCGGGCAGCCGTGAGCAGTGGCAGCAGCAGGAAGGCAAGGGGATAAGGGCGGCTATAGAGGTGGGACGGGAAGAGAGGGGCAAAGAAGGATACACTGGATGTGGACTAGGGAAGAGTGAAGGGGAGGGCGCAAGCAGTGCGAGGCATGGGAGTGCTAGTGCTGGAGAAGGAGAAGGGAGAACAGACCGTGGACCACCAGACCCGCACGGCAGGAATGAAGAGCAGCCGTCCTCAGCTGAGAGTCCTGTGACTCGCGCCCGAGCAGCTCGAGCACGAGCACAGGAGGGGGCAGGTAGTGGCTGAGAACGCAGAAGGGAACAAGGGAACAGGAGTGGGGACAAAGGTGGGGAAAGGCCAGAATAAGAAGGAAGGGAAGAAGGTGAGGACAGAAGGCAGGGAAGAGGCAAGGACAAGAGACGAGTGAGTAAGGAGAGGGGAGTAACTCCGACAGCTGTCACCGAATATAATGGTAAGTACATCATATTCTGGACATACGCTAATTGAGGTGTAGAAGTGCTGTAGCAATTGCTATTCAACCTATAGGGGAGGTAGTTGGGTGTTGGGAGAAGCGAAGGGTTGGTAGCATTGGGGGTTGCAGGGTGCTGCGGGTGCAATTCCAGGGACATTGGGAGACAGGATGGTGAGGGCCAATCCAAGGCCCAGGCGGCTCGGGCCCAACCCATCACGCAGAGAACTGTGCGACTGGGAAGCCAGGCACAAGTAGCCTAGCCTAGCAAAGCAATCTTGTTCTCTCGACTTGTTTGCCTCATATAGTGGATAACGTTACCGCAACAAGGCTACTCTAGCTAGGTGACTACGCCACTGTGGGCAGCCATCGTGTGGGAGAGTGAACCTCTCACAAGTCGGCTGAGAACGCAGAAGGGAACAAGGGAACAGGAGTGGGGACAAAGGTGGGGAAAGGCCAGAATAAGAAGGAAGGGAAGAAGGTGAGGACAGAAGGCAGGGAAGAGGCAAGGACAAGAGACGAGTGAGTAAGGAGAGGGGAGTAACTCCGACAGTATTTGCTGCCACCTACCCACAGGAACAGGTGGTGTATGCTCCTGTGGTGGCTGCTGCGACTTCTCTTGTTGCTGCTGCTGCCCCTGTGGCTACTCCGGGTCATGGGCTGGTGCGTTAGGGTCAGGGGTAGAACCAGCAGTTGGTGACTCCTCATGGTGAGGTGCAGCTGCCTTTTGTTCCTCTTGCTGCTCCTCTACCTCCTCTCCAGGGTCCTCCCATGCCCCCTCAAAAATGGAGGTGTAGGGATCCTGAAGGGAGTTCCCAACTGTACTAGCACCATGGTCTTTCCACCCCTAATAGCTCAGCCCCTCGTGGAAAACCACATCCCTACTTTCCACCACCCGCTAATCCGCCGCACTCCACAACATCCAAGCTTTGCTCCTCTCCTACATCCCAAGAAAAATGCCCCATTGTGCCTTAGGATCCAGCTTCCTCCGTTGCTGGTCGGGCACTTTGTACTGCGCCATGCACCCCCACACTCGTGCCATGGACACACTAGGCACTTTCCTGGTCCACATGAAGTAAGGGCTCTTGCCCCCTAGCCCCTTGCTGCCCATTCTGTTCTTAACCCAGTTGGCATATTGCACTGCTGCCCCCCACCAAGTATGGTCCAGCTGCGCATGAGCAAGCATGGCTCGGGCAAGGTCAATGAGGGTCCGGATTAGCCGCTCCGCTGCCCCATTTTGCTGCGGCGTGTAGGCGACTGAAAGCTGGTGGGTGATGCCCTTGTCTTCAAAGAAAGACTCCAGATCCTTCCCCATGTACTCCCCACCCCGATCGGACCTAAGTATTTTCACCTTGGCCCCGGCTTCCCTCTCCGCATAGCGTATCCAACGCTTGAACACCTTGGCCACCTCATCCTTGGTTTCCACCAAGGTAACCCAACTTAGGCGGCTGAAGTCATCCAAGAAGGTGATGAAGTATTTGCTGCCATTCTCCCTATCCGGTGTTTGCATGGGGCCACACACATCCGTGTGCACCAACTCAAGAGGTACGAAAGCTCTAGTGGTGGAGGTAGGGAAAGAGGTCCTTGGCAGCTTCCCGATCGTGCAATCAGGGCACTTGCTTAGCTGCCCACCACCCTCCTTGATCTCCACACCCTTCAGCTCCCCCTTCTTCACACACTCCACAAGTTGCTGCCTTCCTGCATGCCCCATGCGTAGGTGCAGCAAATCTGTCGTCACCTGCTCCACGTCCCTCCAACGGCTGCTACAAGCGGCTTTCTCGGCTTCAACTTCATGTGCCCTCTCCACCTGAGGCACACAAACTGGAACAAGGTATAGGCCCTTCTCTAATTTGGCCTCCATCACTACAGCTCCACCCTTGCGAACGGTGCCACCTTCCATGGTGAAGGTGCATATGTATTCTTGCCTCGCAAGTTGAGAGCATGAGAGAAGGTTGGCTGCCAAATCAGGAACATGAAGCACACCCTTCACATTCAGCACCTCCCTCTCTTTCCCCATGACGGTGATGGTGCCGATGCCGATTGCTTGCAGCGTATCTCCGCTCCCCACAATCACATTGCTGGAGTCAGGTGGGAGGGAGTGATAAGTGGTGAAGAGGTCGCGCCGAGGTACCATTCCACAGGTTGCTCCAGAGTCTAGAATGAGCTGATTGGGGTCAGCCAACGTACGACCAGCAAACGCCGTCTCCTTCTCTAGGGATAAGAAGGAGAAGCCATCATCCGATATGTCCTCCTTTCCCTTCTTATCATCGTTTGCCGCCGCTGCTGCCGCTTTCTCTTTGCTGCCCTTCTTATTCCATGCTCCGTTTTTCATCCTCCTCTCCACCCACTCAGGCCTAGTGACAGGTGGAGCCTCTCCTGGGTACCCTTGAGGCTTCCACCCATCTGGTCGACTCTAGCACTCCTTCCAAGAGTGCTTCCGGTTGCATCCAGGGACGAGGCACTTGTCGAGCTCCTTCTTCTTCCCCCCACCTCCGTGCCGCTGTTGGTATTTCTTGGAGGCAACCCTATCACCTGCCCCCATTCTCCCTTCAACTCCTCTACCAGCATCACGCTTGCGAGCCTCATCAGAAACCAACACCTCCCATATCCAGGCATTGGTCCATTTCTGCTGCTCTAGGTGAAGGTATTGTAATAGAGCCTCGTTTGCTTCTTGGTCCAGCCCCTGGAGTGCGGTGTAGATGATCTCCTTCTCATCTACTTCATAGTTCAGCTCCTCCAATGCCCTCACATACTCATCCACCCTCTGGAGGTACTGCACCATGGTGTCCCCATCGCCATAGTTGCGTTCCATGGTGTAGAACCGCTTCCTCCAGGTGAGTATGCTTAACAACCCTTTTTGCAAATGTCGATCTTGAACTCTCTTCCATGCTAGTGCAGCTGCTCCTTGCTTGCCGTTCAGATCAATCAGCATCTTTAAGAGCTCTAGTTGGCCTTCCAAGGCCCAACACAAGTACTGGAACGCTTGCTTGTCCTTGCGGTCCCATGCTTCTTGAGCCTTAAGAAGCTCCTCTGTACTAAGCCGTTGCCTTCCGGTTCGCGGTGCTGCTGGTCCACCTCCACTTCCCTCGGTTATGGATGAGCTAGAGGCTCCCCCAGCCCCTTCTCCCACTTGGCTAGAGACTCCAGTAGATGCCTTTCCTTCATCAGCTTCAGGTCTTCGCTCCGATCCCTCCAAAATGCCTTCTAGGTCCCTAGCCAAAGCGTAAACTGGAACCGCCATAGCGAAAAATCCGAGCCGGTGAACCTAAGAGGGCCATCTAATTTCTGGGCCATAACCAACCCTAGATCTGGAGATTCTTAAGCCAATTCATAATATGATAATAGGAGGGATTGTCGCAGGCCTAACCAGCTCTGATACCACTGATGGAAAGCGCGTGAATCTGGAGAGTGTACAAGAGATTAAGTCCGCCGACTTCGACGGAACATTGCGTGCAGCTCACGCAACCTTAAACTATGAGCAGGTACGCGATGGAACGGTCTTAATCTCTACTTTCCAGAATGGTAACGCACGCTTTCAACCAAGATCTAGGCCGATTGCTATCGCGATTTAAGTGCGACGGTGTATTCTGGCGGAATCAGTAGGCAGCCATGGATTAGACCAAAAGACTAGCTTTAGCAAGAGTTCAGATCTGAAAAGTGACGAGTTGTTCAAACCCTACCAACCCAACCCTCGCCCTACAACAATCCCCAACAACCCAAAGTGCTAAACTAGCAACACCAAAGGTGTTGTAGTGAATAGCAAAGGTTTGTTGGTGCTTGTTGGGTGCGAGATCAATACCAGCCCGCAACAAGTCTAACCACCACATTTGGCCCAAACCCTTAGCCCACAACCAGCTAGAGCAAAATACCACAACCACCTACACAATCAACAAAAGGATGGGATGGGAATCCAAGCTAATCTTCAATGGTGAGTTGGTAGATTTGTTGGATTACGGGGGAATCCCAACCGGATAGGGTTGGGATTACAAATCTACACCCAACCCACAAATAACCTAAAGCATATAAATTTGAGTGCACAAAGTGTTGACAGCCTATTTCTAACACTCCGCTCCTCCTTGCTCCCTCTTCTCTCCATCCCTGCTGTCCTCCTCTCTTTTCCATTCAGGGCGAGGGTCGGTTCGGCTCGTTCATGTCAAACATGGGGCGGAATAAGAACGTCCCCCCTCCTTCCTCACCATCAGCATATGTCGCTGCTTCTCTCTTCCCTGCCCTTCTCCCTGCTCTCCTCCCTGCCCTCCTTCCTGCCCCCTTCCTCTCCTCCCCATTCAGGGCGAGGGCCGGTTCGGCTCGTTCATGATGGGGCGGAAGAAGGAGGCATCATGCCTTGGTGGGGCCCGTTGCCTGATGTTCCCTCACTCCCTCCTCGCTCCCCCCCTGCCCCCTTCCTCTCCTCCCCATTCAGGGCGAGGGCCGGTTCAGCTCGTTCATGATGGGGCGGAAGAAGGAGGCCCCGCCTCCTCCGCCACCATCAGCATCGTTCTCTGCTGCTGCTGCTGCCCCCAGCCAGCCCCAAGAGCCGCAGCGGGAACTCGCAGGTATGCATCTTCCTGTCATAGTTTTTTTCCTTAATCATCAGTAGAATGCTCCTACTTCTCACTTGCCAACTGTGTCAGTCTCAGCTGTCAAAACTATTTCTTAGGGTTTTACATTTGGGTCGGTGGAGCAAGCATGCAATGCAACATTCATTACATACTTTAGTTTTCCTTCTTCCCCCCCGTCTCTCTCTCACCGCCTGCCTGCAGGGTTCCTGTGGAAGGTGAGCTCCAAGGGCGGGTGGAGCAAGCAAGGAAACGAGTCTACTATGGTACATACTTTCGTGTTGACTTTTGAGTCGACTCAAAAGGCAACTAGCAAGCAAGGAAACGAGTCTACTGTGGTACATACTTTCGTGTCTCCCCTCTTCTCCTCCCTCTCGTGCCCTGCAGGGTTCCTGTGGAAGGTGAGGTACAAGGGCGGGTGGAGCAAGGAAGTAGCGAACTGAGGTACATACTTTATTTTTTTCCTTTCTCTCCCCTCTCTCTCACCGCCTGTCTGCAGGGTTTCTGTGGAAAGTGAGCTCCAAGGGCGGGTGGAGCAAACGGTGGTTCGCCCTCAGCGACAAGACTGCTAGGGTGAGTGTGTGAATGAGTGAGTGAGTGAGTGAGTGTGTGAATGAGTGAGTGAGTGAGTGAGTGTGTGAATGAAGGATTACATGAGCGATATATTCGCATCGTTTCCCCGTGCTTGAGCACGGCACAGGGAGAGGAGCAGAGCGGGCAGTGAAATGCAGTGCATCCATACAGTAGGATCATCTCCATGCACACATCTTCTCATCAGGATTTTCGATCGTATTTCATGACTCGTAATCCTCGCTCGCTCTCTTTCCGTCCATCCCACTGTCCTGACGCGCCTGCACTGTGTGATAAGTCGAGTTTTGAGTCGACTCAAAAGTCACCTCATTTCATGACTCGTAATTCGCGCTCGCTCTCTTTCCGTCCATCCCACTGTCCTGACGTCCTGACGCGCCTGCACTCCTCCCCCGCTTTTGCGTGCCCTGCAGCTGTACTATGTGAAGAAGCCCGACGAGAAGACTCCCCGAGGCGTCATCTTGCTTCGAGTTGACTCAAAAAAGCCATCCCTTCTTCTTCTGCCCCCTACACGTTCCCTCCCATCTGTTTGCGTGCCCTGCAGCTGTACTATGTGAAGAAGCCCGACGAGAAGACTCCCCGAGGCGTCATCCCTCTGGAGGTGAGCTCCACCCCTTCCTCACTGCCGTTGTTATTACAGTCGCCAGTGGTGTTTGGTTGGGAAAAAAAAAATGAAGAACAAAGAAAGAAGAAAAAAAACATTGAGTAAAGTGATTCTCTAGGTTCAACCACTGCCATTTTCCAGATTAGCAACACCTCACCCATCCTCATCCCCTTGCCGGACTGCGCTGTGGAAGTCTGCGCACCTCCGGAGGATGCGGCTTCTGCCTCTCGTGTCGAGACTGTCATTGCCCTTCCCTTCCACAATCGGGACAGTTTCTGAGATGCTTAAACGCTCAAACGCCCCTCGCTCCCTTGATCCTCGCAGGACTGCATAGTGGAGGACAATCTCCCGCCAGAGGAGGTGCCATCAGCGTCCGACCTCAAGTCTGGGAGCCCCTCCGCCCAGTCGCTGTCGTTCAAAATCAGTAATCGCACCCCGTACAAGACCGTGGTCAAAGGTGAGTATAGACTAGGGTCAAAGGTCAGTGTAACATTGGATTAAAAGTGGGTGTAGATAAGGGACAAAGGTGAGTGTAGCATTAGATCAAGGGTGGGTGTAGATCAGGGTCAAAGGTGAGTGTAGCATAAGAGTGAAAGGTGGGTGTAGATTAGGGTTAAAGGTGCTTGTAGCATTAGAGTAAAGGTGGGTGTAGATTGGGGTCAGATGTGAGTGCAGTTTAGAGCCCCCAGCCCTCCCTCCCTCCTCCAGGCCCCGTTCCCTCCACTTTCTCTCCAGTGCACAACGCTCTCATCCTTCGTGTTGACAGCCTGACAGAGAAGCAGCAGTGGGTGCCCCCCCTGGGTGCAGTGCAGCGCCTTCGCAGCCACACGACATTCAAAGAACCGCCCTCGCTGCCTCTGATAGGGATTTTTTTAGAATTCTCAAAATCAACCTCAAGCAGCATGATTGTCTTCCCTCCCCTCCTTTTCCATCTCCTTTTCCCATCTTTCCACCCCTTGCCCCTCCCTGAACCCTAAACCTTGCAGTGCACAACGCTCTCATCCTCCGAGCTGACAGCCTGGCAGAGAAACAGCAGTGGGTGCAACGGCTTCGCAGCCACACCAAGGCCTTTAAAATAGCGCCCTCACTGACTTAAATCATCCACTCCTCTCTGCCTGCCCCCCGCCTCTCCTGTTTTCTTCCGTCCTCTCCTCCGGTGCAGTGCACAACGCTCTCATCCTCCGAGCGGACAGCCTGGCAGAGAAGCAGCAGTGGGTGCAACGCCTGCGCAGCCACACCAAGGCCTTCAAAGAAGCGCCCTCGCCCCCACCAGAAGCAGCAGGCGGAGGGGAAGCAGGGGACGACTCGGGGGGCGCGGATGGGGAACGGGAGGGGGAGAGCGGGCCCGGGGGACTTGGGGGGGGCGTTCCCCCCGCGCCTGGGCAGCAGGGGGGGCCTGGGGGGGGGAATCAGCGGGTGGTGAGTCCGGAGGAGGAGCTCAAGGCCATGGCGACTGAAGTGAGGCGATACGTGCATGCTGTGCTGGCGCACCTGGCAGATAACATCCCCAAGGTGGGCAGGGAGGAGAGTGGATTTGGTGTCCAGGTGTGAAAATGGATTTGACCGATGAGGATGTGTGATTTGGGAGGGAAGTAGCAGGTATAGTGGGGAGATACGTGCACGTTGTGCTGGCACAGCTGGCAAACAACATGCACACGTATCTCGTTTGCAACCACGCACATGTTTACATTTTTGTATCCCTCCTTCTGCGCCCCCCCCCCTCGCCATCAGGCAATAGTGCTGACGCAAGTGGAGAAGGCCAAAGACGCCATGCTCACAAAACTGTACCAGAAAGTCAGGTACGATATTCTAGTTGAGTTCAATGATTAGAGTGTAATGAATCGCGGCTATATAATCTAAATGCGATGATTTGGATGGATGGAGGTGGAGCAACTTATGCACCTTGTGCTTTGGCTATTTCTCGCTGCCTCCCCTCTCCTCTCCCTTCCAGTGAGCTATCTGACGACAGTCTTTCAGTGCTGCTGCAGGAGGACATGGAAAGCAAGGGGAAGAGACAGCTGTACAAGTACCTTAGGGGTAAACCTTCCTCATGCTCTTTATCTTTCTCTTTTTCTCCTCCCCTGGCCATCCCCTGTCTGCCAGTGAACTATCCGACGACAGTCTGTCAGTGCTGCTGCAGGAGGACATGGAGAGCAAAGGGAAGAGGGAGCGGTTCAAGCACCTGCAGAACGCCCTGCTGAAGCTGAAGCGGTCACTCAGCCTGCATGAGGCACGGGCGTCCGCAGAAGAGGAGGCTGGGGCAGGTGAGAGAGAGAGAGGGAGAGAGTAAGGGAGTTAGTGAGGGAGTGAGTGTGGAAGCGGTTCAAGCACCTGCAGAACGCGCTGCTGAAGCTGAAGCGGTCGCTGAGCCTGCATGAGGCGAGGGCATCGGCAGAAGAGGAGGCAGGTGCAGAAGAGTGAGGGAGTGGTGGGAGTGAGTGCGTGTGTAATGTTGTGTGGAAGGTTAAATTTCAGAATACTAAGGGAGAGAGCTGAGAGCCGAGTGCATTACAGAAGCTGGGGTTGGTGTGGTTGAGAGAGTGTGAGGGAGTGAAGGGGTGAGTGAGGGAGTGAGTGGGGCTGGGGACTAAGTGAGAGAGTGATTTGTACGGTGGACGAGTTGCCTATATCAGGGAAGCAACTTAGGTCTCAGTGCAAGAGAACAAAGCCCACGTTCACCCTCGTATGCATCACTTTTGCACCTTTGTCCTTCCTCCCCATCCCTTGCCTCAACTATCAGGGAATACGTATCTCAATGAGTTATTGATCCCTCGAGCTACTATTCTAGCTAGCATCTAGCTTCTATGTGAGAAGAGCTCTGGTTCACTCCTTTAGGAACTCTTGTCTTGCCTCCCCCGTCCCTCAACCCCCATCATTTACGAGGTGGAAAGGAGAAGGTGGATGACTGGCGAGCAGCCTTCAACAAGGCATCACCCATGGCCCCCGTGCAAGAAGAAGCGTTCTCCCATAGATCCTCTGCTCCCCTTTAAGCACCACCACCTTTTGCATCACCCCCGTTCTCTCGCCCCTCAAACACACACCAGGAGGGAAGGAGAAGGTGGATGACTGGCGTGCAGCCTTCAACAAGGCATCACCCATGGCCCCCGTGCAAGAGGAAGCATCCTCCCCGAGGTCCTCCGCTCCTGCTCTCTCCCCAACATCTACCAAGCCGGCCCGAACCTCCTCCGGAACTCCCAAGGGCTCAGGCTCGGGAGGAACAGGTTCGTCCCCCGCTCCTGCTGCATCCCAATCCGCTGCTTCTGCTGCGGTGGCTTCAGCAGCAGCAGCAGCTGCAGCGGCAGGGAGAGGAGGATCCGGAGCAGGTGCAGGAGCAGGAGCAGGAGGAGGGGCAGGGGGGCCAGGGGGAGCAGGATCGGCATCGTCTCCCTCCCCATCCATCTCCTATGCCCCTAGAACCAGCATGAGCATGGCCCCTATGACATCTCCTATGGGAGGAGGAGGGAGCCCCATGGGCATGGCTAACAGCGCGAGCCTTGGCACTGCGGGGTATGGCGGGAGTGTTGGCATGAGCAGCAGTGCGGGTGCAGCAGCAGGGTACGGCAGCAGTGGGGGGGCGAGGGGAACGCCGCCTATGGCAGGTCCTCCTATGGGAGGAGCTCCTATGGCTGCAGGTGCTGGTATGGGTCAGCCCATGGGGCAGCCTATGGGGCAGCCAATGGGTGCGCCCATTGCGGCTGGTCCCCCCCGCAACCCTTCGCCTCTGCGGCAGATGCTGAGTGGCGTGGGCATGGGAAGGAGGGTGCCTCCTGCTCCCCCCACCACCGCTGCGCCCACGTATAAGTACCCATAGCTCTGTGTTGATTACTTGGAGAAACCATCATGCCCTATGTACACGTAAGCACCTCTGGCTGTTTGATTGCCCTCATGTTGAAGTAATAATTTTCCTCTGCACAACAGCCTGCTACATCAGATGATGTTGATCTGTGACCTGTCTCTAGAGCTTTTATTCTGAGACTATTTGTTGAACCACTATTGTCGCTCGGAATCCACTAGATTTAGACCAACCCTACTCTGTTGCACCTTGATCCAGGATAGAGATCACAAATGTGCTACATTCCTGTATTACAAAACCATTTGCCCATTCTGCGAAATTCAGTTCCGACTAGCGAAATCAATCTCTAGTCATATTCAAATCAATGGCGCTGCGAAACACAGGAAATCGAACGCGTGCTTCTGATCGGAGTTGCCAAGCCAAGCACGCCATTTCAACCCAATTATATACACACGGGTGACGTCATCACATGCCGCCCCGCCCGCCCTGGCACAAAGGGAATTGAGGCAAAACGAAAAACCCGCAGAATCCCTCCGGGCCCCCGGAAATTCCCGGCTGACCGGGCCAAAAAACCCTCCGAAACCCGCGGGTTCAATGTCGTATTCTTATTCTCATATATATGTCGGCCGAACTGTTGCAATTTCGGGGACATTTGTCGAACAGTGCTCGACGGACATTGGCCAATCGCCGTCGAGCACCGTGCACCCCCGACAACGCTTTTTACACCCGGTGGCATGTCGCCCACACGGTGGCGCTGACGGTCGACGGTTGCGAAATACCGACTGTCGCAATCGACGGAGACGTCAACTGCGGCCGACCTGTCGCCTCGTCGGTCGAGCGAACTGTCGCTGTCGGATGGGCGACGGGTTACGTCTGTCGCAGTCAAACGTTCACGTCAACTGCCGACTGCCACGTCAAATGTCTCAGTCTACACGGGGAGCAACATCAGCCCAAGGTCACTGTATAAACCTGAATTCATAGTAGAAGCACCACACTTTCCTCAGCAGGCCAGGATTTAGGGAGAAGTGCTAGCTTTCGGTGGGCACTGATGGAGACCGATCCGTCGACGACAGCGCCTTCCCGGCAGGCGGACGTAGGACGGATACCTGTCGAATTGGAGTCCATCTCGACACCACCCCCTTCGTCGTCTGGAGCCACGCCGGTTTCTTCCGCGCCCCCTTCGACGATGCGTGCCATACCGGAGGTGGCAGCGCCCACCTCGACGTCGCGAGCCATACCGGTAGTATTACAGCCGGTTGTTACGGACCAGCGTTCGACGGCCCCTTCGACGACGCGTGCCATACCGGAGGTGGCAGCGCCCACCTCGACGTCGCGAGCCATACCGGTAGTAATACAGCCGGTTGTTACGGACCAGCGTTCGACGGGTATTCCGGTCACTGTTGAAGTGGGTGGTGCACTGACCGAATTCCCTTCGACAGGTCAATCCATACCTGTTGTCGTAGAACCCATCTCGACAACAAATGCCCCCTTTACACACGAGGCTCCTGCTCACCGTGCACCATCGTCGACAGCCCACCGCTCGACGGAACCTTCAGCTGGTGCACCGGCCTCGACAGGTGGGCGACGTAGGAGAGCGAGGGCTGTTCCGCCTGAGGTTCGCCAACCACCCCCTGCCGGCACATCCGCTTCTCGAGCCGGCCCCGCCGCTCCTAGGCGCACTTCGACGAGACCAAGCAGAGAGGACTTAGCCAGGAACGTCCCTGAAGCGACGGACGATGACGATGTTCAAACGGGAGAACAGCAGGAGGCGGACGATGTCGAACCGCCAGACCCTCTGCGGCCTGCTGCGGCAAATATCTCAGAGGAGGATGCCGCGCACATTCTCGGCGACCAACCGGGCGCAGACAATCCGTACTTGGCGACCGGAACACTTAAAAGCAGGATTCTCCGGTGTGAGGTTCCGCTGCTGGGAGTTGACCAGGATTCCACACGGCCAAACTATGTCTCTGGAAGCATGCACTACAAAGCTTGGGCCTGTAAAATTCTGGCACCCGAGGGAAGCAACGGAGTGCCTAAAGAGGAGCAGGTGATCTACGAGGACGAGATCGGTAGGGAGATCGGCGACGATATGGGGCCGAGATGGAGGGAGGCGCTGCGTAACGAGGAGCACCTGCATGGGCCGAAAATAACGAAGTGGCGCTTGCGCGCGTACGTCGAATACATGTCGACTGAAACCGACCAACAAGCGGCTTCGTTGGACACAGGCCGGACCAGAGTCGCTGGAAGGAAGGCGAAAAAAAGCACCCCTCCGATGATGCTGGCGCGCCTTACTGCGCTGACGTGCTTCTGCAGAGTAGAGGCCATACTCTTCGACGAGCCACTAACGAAACCCTTGGACGACATCACCGAGGCCCGGCAGCTTCTTGCGGTCAAGCTGCGGCAGCTGCATGACTTTCAGTTCGAGTAAGTAGGCTGCCATACACCGGACTCTAAAACTTTTCACTCAAATTCTCACCCAACTACTCGCTGTATCTGCCCACTCAATGCAGGCAGTGCGTCGATCCACACCGGGGCTCGCTCGACGATGTTTACACGGAGGAGCAGTTCCGCATTCTCGTTTCAGACATCCTGCCGTACTGGGCCAAGGAGTACTTTCGGGAGTCGATGAGTTACCCCAGTCAGTCGCTGTGGAGGGCCTTGGCCGTGAGGGTGATGATCCTGATGGCGCATCACATGCTGGGCAGGGGGATAAGCATCCGCGAGATCCGCTACTGCAATATGTTCACTCACGTCCTTCCGCCCATCACGAACAGCAAGGGGGAATCGTCTATCCACGTTCTCGTGGTCGCCTATCGCAACTCGAAGACCATCAAAGACAACAAGCTCGGCCACCTGTACCTGACTCGACACATGGACTTCCTGCAGTGCGGCTTCGGAGCAGTGTTCATGTGGATACATTTCATTTTCGACCTTGTGCCGCTCTACTACAACAACGATAAGATCGTGCCCCCCTTGGATTTCAGCAACCCGGAAAATTGGTCAAAGAAGCACCTGTTCTTCGCCCTCTTCGACAAAGACAAGACCGAGTTGCCGTACGCGACTCATGCCAAATGGGTTACCTGGGCGATGAAAAGCGCGGAGTGGATCCTGTCGAAAGTCACACATATCTTTCGACGGTCTGCGGCACAGATCCTCGCCGACAAAAACTGTGAACTCGACAACATCGCGCAGCTGGGTCAATGGGACATGAACGAGATGCGCAGGTCATACGTCACAGGCATCCCGCGCGGGGCCATCCAGCTGCAAGCGGGTTTCACGACGGAACCGGGTGACTATTACCTTGGAAGATCGAAGAGCGAAGTACCCGCGAAGGTCCTGAAGGCTATCGAGGAGCACATATTTCCAGAGGCGGAGCAGTGGCTCGACGAGGTATGGATGCGTCGAGCGCTTAGCGTGATCATCGAATGCAAGTTTTGCCCATCTATCTCTCAATGTCACCACGTTTGTTCTTGTTCAGGCGATGGAATGGAACAACGAGCAGGACAAGGAGCATATGTTCTTCGCAGCAAAAAGTTTCTTGAAGGCCCTGCAAGCCGTCCGAATGCCCATCGCCGAGGATCTTGCGATGTACTACGTCCATTGTGACGACCACCCCTTCGACGGAGTGACTGTTTGCGACTGCGAGCGTCACCCTTATGTACAGATGTCCGGTTTGTGCAAGGACATGGATTTCCAAAAATGGGCGCTTGACGTGTACCTGCTCGACAAATACGGCATCGAGATGCGGACCAACCCCACGCTGTCGAAAGCTTCGGTAAGATGGCCCTTCTAATTTTTAATCCGAACAGATTGCATCAGCCCACTTACCTACCGCTCGTGATCTTGTGCGCAGGACGCATCCTTTCAACTCAACACCAAGCACCTCATCACGCAACTTCGGGCAGAGGTCAACTTACACAAGGAGGAGGGTGGGAAAAAAGAAATCAAGATCAAGGGCCTCGAGCAGAAGGTCGAGTCATTGGAGCGGGAGAAGGGCGCGATGCAAGCGGAGTTGGAGGCGAAGGCAGAAGCACTCGCGCTACTGCAGAAAGCGTTCGACGCACTGAAGATTACCGCCGCGACAACCGCAGCTGCGAGTGTGGGGGGGAGCGAGAGTGTGCCGCAGACGGCGACCGAAGAAACCACCCCGCCACCACAGCAACCCCCTCAATCAACGCCCACTCAACAGAGCAAGGGCAGCCAGCTCGACCAAGCATTCTTCGACGCAGTGGTGTGGCCGTGGTGCAATTGCGAGACCGTGCGGCAGGCGTGGTCGTACTGGGACGGGCCAAGCCCGCTGAACAACGGACACAGTCTTCGACATGCTTACAGGAGGGGTTTCGCCGTCAAGTTCAGCAAGTTCACTCCGACTCCTCCCACCGTTCCCCAGGTTGCGGTGGACCAGCCAAAAGAAAAGCCACCGACCCCAAAAGCTGTCGAGTCGAAATTGCGGAAGATGGAGGTTGTCATGAGGGCCGTCGAGATATTCAGGGTCGACGACAGCAGCGCGGCTACGTCGACGATCATTGATAAGCTTGACTCAATAGTCGCGAACCACTCGATCAACATGCTGGCTGAAGGGCTCGTTCTCAAAGAGGATTCGGGGAAGCAGCTCACGAAGAAGCGCAAAGTCGAGACAGCAGAAGACAACCGGAAGGACAAAGATCGCCTCAGGATCACGCGGGAGCTCATTCGCGTCGAGCTTCGAACCACGAAATGGGCCGAGAACGTGCTCAAAGACAAATGGAAAGAGTTCATGAAAACATTGGGCGAGAGCCCAAGTTCGACAGGCAATCCTGACGAGGGGGGAAAGTAGAGTAGGGTGTTCTTTCAGAGATTGCATGGCAGATTCTCATTACTGACCGACCATCTTGCCTGTATGAACCTTCTGAGCATTATCGCACACGGAAAGTCAAGATTCATGCAACATGTACATGCTGTCGATTAAACTCTGGAAACAACTAACACAACTGTCGAGAATGGCAAACACCCCCACGCCAAGTGCCCGCCTAGACTACTCCCCTTGCCCGCTAGTTTCCGTCTCAGCTGCATCCTCGACGCCCTGCTTCGCCTTGCTCTTTTCTTCTGGCATAGCCAGGCTGCCATAGCCCGCGTCCTCCAGCAAGCGGGCAGCAGCTCGACAGCAGCACCATTGCGTACAGACCTGTGCTGCCACGCGCAGCATCTGCAGCAATATGGCGTCCGTCGAGCCGAGACCTTCGACAGCCGACGAATACAGGTGATCGGGCCACTGCTTCGCCGGGAACGTCTTGCCGACGTGCAAAAGTATGGACACGAGTGCGGACATGGCAGCCACACAAGCCTTCTTTGCAGTCTCCGGGGCGTAGATCGCCCCGTTTGCGGCAGCTAGGGCGTCCTTCTTAATATCCTCCCTCGACAACTTCCTGCAGGCCGCCCACAAGCTCGCCACAGTTGCTGCGATGGCCATCATGTGCGGTGTCGCCGCCATGCCCTTCGGGACCGGGTAAATCAGATTCCCGTGCTTCATGCCAAGCGTCGCGACCTTACCAATCGCCACGCACAGCGCGATTCCCCTCTCGGTTCCAGCTTTCGCTTCCTTTTTTGCCGTCGCCAACAGCGACAGGTAACTGCACATCGCAAGAAATGCGTTAGTCAAGAGGCCAGAATTCGACCGACAGCACATTCACCGCAAAACAGCTAGTGTTCGACAAATCACCAAAACAGCAGGAATTCAACAGCAAAGTCTAGCAACATGACTTCGACAGGACTTACTCGTCAAAACGGCATTCCCCTTGTTCTTGCGCCACGCTCCAAACGCCGGTTGGCATTTCTGCGGCCGCATCAAGGTAGACCTTCCAGTCCTCCTCATCCTGCGCCGTGTACCCTTCGTACTCCGTAAGGACAACGTCGGGGAAGTACACGCGCCAGCAGACGGCCGTACAGAACTTCTGGTCCTTCTCTGTTTCAAATGTGCCAAGGAACCGCTTCCTCCCGCCGACGGTCTGCTCGGAAACCAGCTTCCCCTTCCGCAACCCGAAACCCGGTCCTTTGAAGGGACGTTTGCAGCCTCTCGTCTTGCCTTGGTCGTCCGGTCGAGGAGGTGGGGTGTGACCCGTGACCCTGGCCTTCTTCGCCTTTTCCTGTCGAGCAGCAACGACAATAGAGGTCTTCTCGACAGGCGCCTGACCAGGGACGCTGGCCAGCTCCACCACGTCAAGGCTCTCTGTCGCGTGTGCAGCGCGCTTCGACGACTTCGTCGCAGCCGGCTTCTTCTTCGACTTTGAAGGGGAGCCCGGATCGCTAAGGCAAACGTTGCCTAGGGACGGAGCAGCGGCGAAAGGAGCAACTGGAGGGGTTGAGGAAGACGCCCAATTTCCCACAAGCCCGGCAGCAAGGCCAGCACCACCGCCGTGCGCAGCTGATGCCGCTTTAGGCTTCGACAGCAACCCAGCGCTTGCTTCTCCCGCTCCTTTCCCTGCACCGCCGCCTGACGGGGTAGAGGCACCTCGCATTCCTAGGGCTCTGTTCCCGGTCGAGGCGACGTGCTCGTTCGGGGCACCACTTTTCTCCCCCGCGACCACTCCTTTCCCACCCGTTTTCCCCAGGTCTTGCAGCATGTCCCGCATCGAAGCAAACGCATCAGGTTGATCGATCGGAGCCGCTACGGAGGTCTTCGGGAGGGCTGACTGGTCGAGTACGATGACTTCGGGGACGGGCTTGGCGACGGGATGACGGCCACGCGCCGGTGGGGATCCAACCGGGCTGCCGACATGTCCTCCCACCGAAGAAGACGGAGGAACCGACCGCTCGTGACCTCGAGGCTCAGCCCCGCTGCGAACCCCTCCCACACCCTCCTGACGCGACCTCGTCGACGGGCCCGCCGAGCGCTGAAAACCTCTCGCCATCGCTTCGGTGAGGACTTCCAACCTCCCTGCTTCGGCTTCTTGGTATCCTTCCCTCACAATGTCCTTCAGCTCCTTCATGGTCTCGGGTGGGAGAGTGGAGCAAAACATGTCCTCCATGATGGCTTTCTCGAAACCCTTCAGCACCGCAGCAACCAGCCGCTCCTCGACCTGCTTGAGCTGCTTCTCGACGGCGTCCTCGCTCGCTTTTGTGATGGCGGCTACCACCCCCTCGATGATCTTCCCGCTCATCTCGTCGATCTTCGCCCGCGCCCCTTCCAACAGGTTCCTCTCCGCCGTGACACCCTTCACAGCCTCGGCACACTGCGACAGTGTGCTCTTCGACGACTCCGAAATCGTATTCCACGCCGTCCGAAAATCCGCCGCAAGCCTGTTGAATACTCCGGCTTGCTCAGTGTGTTTCGCAAATACATCGGCGACGAGCTGCTTCTGCGACGCCTCGACCTTCTCGACCCTCTGCAGTAGCTCGACGACCTGGCCTCCGGGTGCAACGTTCGCCGTCGATTGGCCTGCCGTCGAAGGCCACCCGGTCGAAGGGCCCGCCTGTCCGCTGCCACTGGCCGTGCGGTGACTCCTTGTTACGGTGGCCTGTCGCTCATCTCCTCGACGATACTCCTCAACAGCCTCCCTGACCTCCTGCTCCTGCCCTCCCGACCCACTCACCCGCGCAGCCGCAACCCTAAACTCTTGCTGCTGCACTCCTGCCCCACCCACCTGCGCAGCCGCCACGCCCTCCTGCTGCTGCCCTCCTGCCCCGCCCTCCTGCGCAGCCACCTCGCCCACCACCTGCTGCTGCCCTCCGACCCCACCCTCCTGCGCAGCCGCTCCGCCCTCCTGCTCCTCGACAGTCTTTGTTTCCCCTGTCGTCTGCTGCTCGATAAGCTCTACTCGCTCGTCCACCCGCTCCCCGAGCGCCACTCCGTGCTCCCCCGTACGCTCCGTTCGATGTCCGGCGCCCTCGCCGTCGTCCTCGACCGACTCATCGCTCGAGCTCGAGCCGGGGCTCGATTCCGAGCTCGAGTCCTCGTCCTGGTTCGCATCGCCGCCCGGGCCGCTCGCCCCGTGCTGAGCCTGCCTCGATGTATCCTCCTCGATCTCCTCCTCCTCCTCCTCGATGCTGTACTCAATCACGACGCGTCCCGTCTTCTCGCCTCCTCCCTCGTGGTCGGCACCCCCTCCCACACTTGCTCCCTCCGCCAGCTGGTCGATCTTTCTCGAAAACAGCTTGACCATGAACAACGGAAGCACACCCGGGCCAGGGTTTGTTCTCCCTAGATGCACGAGTTCGCCCTTTCGAGGCTGTAGGATGAAGTCGTCCCATTTCGACAGAATCCGGCGCACCCCATCCACGACACGAGCTGCCGCGCCGTTTTGATAGGGGCTCGACAAGGCCGTCGTCGTCTGCGACGGGTACAAAACATACGTAAGCGACAAAACACTTGCTCGGCGAAAACGCTGTTGGTCTAAGGAGAGCTTACCAGATGGTCGAAATCCTCGTTCAACTCCAGACGAAGGTCCATCACCTTCAACACTTCTTGGTCGTCCTCGGTCAGAGCCTGGTGGGTCATCGCGTACTCGGCGCGAAGCTGCTTCTTCATCCACCTGCGACGCAGAGGACAGAAGAGTAAGATTGTCGAGAACAGCAGCTCGACAGCAGGGTTGCAAAGCTGTCACTCACACGAAAACTTCTTGCGCCAGAGAAGATTGGTGGTTCATATCGGGAAACTTGTCTTTCGAATCGAAGTGCATCATTCGAGTTCGACTGCCACGGTGCCTCGGAGCCAGCAGATCATCGGGGCGCGATACCACAAACAGGCTCGAGTGGGAGAACGGAGGCACACTCAGTCTGCATGCACAGCCAATGCACGTGAGAACGGGTTCAGGGCTAAAGACGGAGCACGCAAGGCGACAGGAGAGTGTCGAACTCACGGTGTCCGCAGCAGAACGAAAACCACTTGCTTGCCGAGGAGGCCGTCGAGGTGGTTGTTCGCAAAAGCGACCGGGGTGGGACGGGCCATCTCTTCACGCGCACGCGCCGGAGTCACGATCGACACCTTGGGGAGCTGCTCGACGGAGAGCAGTTCATGACAGAACAGGCTGCACGGAAAGCTAAGTCAACGTCAGCGATTGGTAAACCGAAACATGGCAAACCGAAAATGTTCGACAGGACACGTACACGACGCCCGCGACCATCATGCTCTCGTCGAGCTCCCCTTTCGGCGCCTCTCTAATCGCATTCAGCTGGTCCTCGAACACCTCCACCTCGACCCCGCCTGCACTAAGGATGAGGCCGCGTCGAACCGTGGCCTCGTTCATGACGGGTACGGAGGCGGGGCCCGTAGCCATGTCTGTTCTAGCAGTGGAGAGGGCGGACGCGCAGGGGAGTTGGGAACTAGCAGGGACTAGGAAGTAGGGAAGCAAAAATCGGAAACAGCAACAAAATGAGACCGGACGCAGGGTATTAGCTGTTTGCCATCCCTCCCGCCGCGATGGACCAGGGGGGTTCAAGGGCGAGGAGGCAGGGCGCGTTCCGAGACGTGGGAGGAGGAGGGAGGCCGGCGGGGCCCCATTGGCCTCGACGTGAAACCTGGTCGTTGGGGTGGGCAGCCTTGCATGCAGCTGAAAGGCCCCTTCCAAGGTTCGGGAGGGGGCCTTCGACACGTCGCCAAGATCGAGCGGCTTGAACGAAACGGGCCCGTCTAGGGCGAGAGCGGTGGAGCGCGGCGCAGATGGGCGTCGCTTTCGTCTGGCCGGCGAAATTTCGCGGACTGGTTCCGTCGGCGAGGCGTCGCTCGGCGAGGGACGGGTGGGTTACCTGACGGAACCCGTCGACGAACTGAGCGGGGGGTTGGGCTCAGTTGGGGGGTTGGGCTCGGTTTGGGAGGGGGACCACTGCCAGCTCGAGGGCGCGGGCTGCTGGCGTCATCGGCAGCTGGCGCCAGCTGGGGGTGCCCGTTTTCGGGTGGGAGGGGGGGGGTGGCTCCCGCCCCTCGCGTGCTTCGCTAGGCGACGGCGGGAAAACGAAAATCCCTCCGAGGAAAACCCGCAGGGGCGAACGGGTTTCCGCGGAGGGATTCGGGCGACGTCTTCCCCTACATCCACTACCTCCCTCACCCTCACACAGCAATCCGGAGCATCGCCAGATTCTTGTTTCTCCAACGCGCCTGGCAGAAACATTCCCGCTTCTGCTACCAGTTCACAATGGCCATGCAGTAATAACGTTCCTTTCCAATGCAACGCTGCATGTGTGCGAATGCATTACTGAGCGAACTTTTTCGCTTGCAGTCTAGCGGCGCCAGATTATGTACCGAAGCTCAAAGACATCTTTGACAAAGCAGAGTTTAGCGACGTCGTATTTGAGGCCTCAGATGGGACCAAGATCCCTGCACATCGCAGCATTGTCGCCATATGGTACCTATTACTGTCGCAAAAGAACATCGTATTGCGGTTCCACATTATCATCGCTTTCTTTTCAGGTCTTCACTGCTGGAAAACAGGTGGAAGAACACTCCAAACAAGAAAAATTCAATCGTGAAAATAAAGGAGCTGGATGGTTCAACATTGAGGCAGTTTCTTTCGTTCATGTATGGTCATGAAATAACAGTTACGTTGGAGTCCATCAAGGTATGAATGCGTCGCGCAGTTTTTGTGTTGGATCTTTGCGTGCATTTTACAGTTTGCCACCTTCTACAGAGCGGACTTTCTGTACTTGAAGCGGCGCATGAGTATGATGTTCCCGATCTAGTCAAGGTGATGGACCGCAAGTTAAACCTGATTATGGATGAGCAGTTTGACGAAATCGATGAGGAAACTTTTCTTGAGGTTCTAAAAGTTGTTGGCCGAGCTGGTGCAAAGGTCACATTTAAAAGACTTTTTGAGCTATTGGACGAAGAAACTGGTCCTAACTTCATAAAGGTCTGTATGTGTTCTCTTTGGGACACCAAGTAACACCTTGCACACCTATTTCTAACTTCATTTATTTCCTGCAGAAGTTGTTCATGAGTAAAGATACTCGGGACCATGAGGTGGCATTTAAAGTTGCTACCATGACATGGACTTATCATCTGAATCATAATCATTATAGCTATTATGATTCAGATGATGAGTCAGGTGATGAAACAGGTGATGACGCTGGTGATGAAGTAGATGATGAAGGCGGTGTCAGGACTTGATTGATGAATCATCATCAATAATGAAGAGGGAGAATGGACTCTCGGATTCGGCCGCTACGACCTACCGGTACCTGGCAACCATGAGCTACCGTAGGAAGGAGAGCTGGCTGTCTGTCACAGCTCACATGATTGTCTGCATTTCACACTACATGAAGGAGGGCATTCTTTTGAACTTGCTGGCTGACTACCGGTAGTATTTGTGTGAGTGAGCCATGAACATGCATGCAACGTTCAGTTGGTTACTGATCAAAGTTCAACTCCCTTTGAGCTCCATTCAAAAACAAAGAGGAATACAGTATGCAAGACAAGCTGAATCAGAAAATCCAAGCTGCAAAGGCCCCGTTAAAATCGCTTCATGTAATGGCACGTTTGGTATGGCATGTTATACATCAGAGTTTCCGGCAAGAATGCCACATCATGCTAGCGCCCTGTACTTAAGACGTGATGGTTCTTTGTTCCCAAGCCGCCTCCTCCTGTCCTCCTCGTAGTCACTGTACGAGCCTTCAAACCAAACCACCTGCTTCGGAAACGTTCAGGGGTAGATATCAGAAATGTCAACAACAAAGCAGAACAGTGTGGCTCAACACCATACATGCGCGTGGCTGTCTCTTACACAACATGCTTTGAAAACCCTGAATCACATCGAGGTATCGGAGTCACGTCTGAAAACTCTGAAGAAACGCACCTTGGAGTTGCCTTCAAAGGCCATGATGTGCGTGGCAATGCGATCCAAGAACCACCGGTCGTGAGAGATGACAATCACGCATCCAGCAAACCCCTGAATCGCGTCCTCCAGCGCCCTGAGCGTGTCAACATCGAGGTCGTTGGTGGGTTCGTCCAGCATGAGCAGGTTGCCTCCGCGCCGCATGATGCGCGCCAGGTGCACGCGGTTCCTCTCGCCGCCCGACAGCACGCCCACCTTCTTCTGCTGGTCCGCCCCCTTGAAGTTGTACCACGCACAGTACGCCCGGCTGTTCACCTTCCGCTCGCCTGCCATTTAAGGGAGTTAGAGAGGGAAGGATGTGAGACTGTATCAGGTGTGCGGCAGTTGCATCTGTGACTGTAGCATGTGTAACTGTACAACGTGCAACTATTAACCACAGCTCGTGTAAACGTCAAACTCACCCAACCAGATCCCATCTCCACTAAGGGACAAAATCTCATGTCCACTTAAGGACAAACAAACCCACCCAGCAGGATCTCGTCTGCGCCGCCCGTGATCTCCTCAAACACCGTCTTGTTGGGATCAAGCGCATCGCGTGATTGGTCGACATAGAGCGGCGCCACCGTCTCCCCCACGCGTAGGGAACCCTCATTGGGGCTGTCCTGACCCACAATCATGCGGAAGAGAGTTGACTTGCCGGCACCGTTGCCACCAATCACCCCCACGATGCCTGCACGGCACGTTGCAAGGGGTTGAAGGGGCGGTGAAGGGGGGTTGGGAGGAGAAGGGGAGAGCTTGTAAGCTCGCGGGCGCCACAGTCTCTCCCACTCGCAGCGTGCCCTCATTGGGGCTGTCTTGCCCCACAATCATGCGGAAGAGGGTTGACTTGCCGGCACCGTTGCCACCGATGACCCCCACAATGCCTGCAAAAGGAAGCGGAAGGGTCGGGGAAGGGTTGGGTTTTAGGGGGGCGAGGGATGGGGAGAGCTTGTAAAACTTGCAGGTGCCTGCCGCAGTCTCCCCCACTCGCAGAAAGCCCTCATTGGGGCTGTCTTGGCCCCATGATTATGCGAAAGAGGGTCGACTTGCCAGCACCATTACCACCGATTACCCCCACAATGCCTGCACGGCGGAAGGAAACTCTGGATTCTTTGAGGAGTGAAAGCATCCAGGTGACTTTTGAGTCGACTCAAAAGTCAACTCTGGATTCTTTTAGGAGTGAAAGCATCCAAGTGACTTTTGAGTCGACTCAAAAGTCAACTCTGGATTTTTTGAGGAGTGAAAGCATCCAGGTGACTTTTGAGTCGACTCAAAAGTCAACTCTGGATTCTTTGAGGAGTGAAAGCATCCAGGTGACTTTTGAGTCGACTCAAAAGTCAACTCTGGATTCTTTGAGGAGTGAAAGCATCCAGGTGACTTTTGAGTCGACTCAAAAGTCAACTCTGGATTCTTCTAGGAGTAAAAGCATCCAGGTGACTTTTGAGTCGACTCGAAAGTCAACTCTGGATTCTTCTAGGAGTGAAAGCATCCGCATGCTGCCACACCTCCAGACGTCAAGTTGAAGCTGAATCCATCCATGCACCACAAGCCATGCCATGGAATCATGCTGCGTATTTTTTAGAATTCTCAGAAACACCATGCCATGGTATCATGCTCCAGACACACCACAGCACCACGCCATACCTCCAGGAGGCAGGGTGAGGTTGACCCCATCCATGAGCACACGCTCCCCAAACGCCTTGGCCACTCCCTCCCCTTCCACCACCACATCTCCCAGCCGGCTGCACCATGCCACATGCCATACCTCCAGGCCACACCACACAAACCATACTATACCGCACACCACTACGCCATACCTCCAGGAGGCAGGGTGAAGTTGACCCCATCCATGAGCACCCTCTCCCCAAACGCCTTGGCAACCCCCTCCGCCTCCACCACCACATCTCCCAACCGCGGCCCCGGCGGCAGGAACATGCTCTCCAGCCTCTCCTCTCGGGAATACTGACTCGCCTGAATGACCAGCTCTTCATATGCCCGCATGCGCGCCTGTGGGTTTGGGACAGTACAGGGGGCAGGCAGGAGTGAAAGACGGACAGGCCTGGCGGCAGGAACATGCTTTCTAGCCTCTCCTCTCGGGAATACTGACTCGCCTGAATGACCAGCTCTTCATATGCCCGCATGCGCGCCTGTGGTTATGAGAGGAGGGGGGATCAGGGACAGGCGGGAATGGTGGACAAGACAGCAACATGCTCTCCAGTTTCTCCTCCCAAATCACTACCTCCTCCCAAATCACTACCTCCTCGTATGCTTGCACGCGGGTCTGGGGGATTGGGAAGGGGGGAACTGAAAGTGGGGTTGCTTGCAGTGAGGAGAGGAGGCAGGTAATAGCAGTGAAAGAGGCAAGAAACATGCTCTCCAGCCTCTCTTTCCGAGAATACTGGCTCGCCTGAATCACAGCTCTGCATACGCTCGCATGCGCGCCTGGGAGTTGGGGGGGTTGGGGGGAGGACGAAGCAAGCAGGAGCATGTTCTCTCGAGAGAATATGTCTCCCTGTTTGAGTACTGGCTCGCTTGGAGTGGAGGGAATGGTGGAGCAGGCAGAAAATGCTCTCCAGCCTCTCGTCTCGCGAGTAATGGCTCGCCTGAATCACTATTTCCCTGTAATTTCCTCTGTTTCACTCCCTTCTCTCACCTTGCCCTTCTTCTGTTGCCCCTTGGCCTTCTGTCGAATCCACTCCATCTCCCTCTCCATAACCCGCTGCAGCGCCGATTGCTGCTTCTCCTCCGCCCCCAGGCGCTGCGCCTTGTTCTCGAGCCAAGCGGAGTAGTTGCCCTCAAAGGGAATGCCCTGCCCGCGGTCAAGCTCCAGAATCCACCCCGCCACCTGGGAAGGAAGGGGGAGATCAAGACAGGAGTAAAATAAAGGGGGACACACAAGACGCGACTCAATCGTTGCGTTTGGTCTCACAAAGCTGACTTTTGAGTCGACTCAAAGGTCTCACAAAGCTGACTTTTGAGTCGACTCAAAGGTCTCACAAAGCTGACTTTTGAGTCGACTCAAAGGTCTCACAAAGCTGACTTTTGAGTCGACTCAAAGGTCTCACAAAGCTGACTTTTGAGTCGACTCAAAGGTCTCACAAAGCTGACTTTTGAGTCGACTCAAAGGTCTCACAAAGCTGACTTTTGAGTCGACTCAAAGGTCTCACAAAGCTGACTTTTGAGTCGACTCAAAGGTCTCACAAAGCTGACTTTTGAGTCGACTCAAAGGTCTCACAAAGCTGACTTTTGAGTCGACTCAAAGGTCTCACAAAGCTGACTTTTGAGTCGACTCAAAGGTCTCACAAAGCTGACTTTTGAGTCGACTCAAAGGTCTCACAAAGGGGACTAGAATGACTTAGATGGACTAAAGGGCTCGAGTGCAGGGTCGGAGTGCAGGGTCGGAGTGCAGGATCGGAGAGCAGGGTCGGAGTGCAGGGTCGGAGTGCAGGGTCGGAGTGCAGGGTCGGAGTGCAGGGTCGGAGTGCACGGTCGGAGTGCACGGTCGGAGTGCAGGGTCGGAGTGCAGGGTCGGAGTGCAGGGTCGGAGTGCACGGTCGGAGTGCACGGTCGGAGTGCAGGGTCGGAGTGCAGGGTCGGAGTGCAGGGTCGGAGTGCACGGTCGGAGTGCACGGTCGGAGTGCACGGTCGGAGTGCACGGTCAGAGTGCAGGGTCGGAGTGCACGGTCGGAGTGCACGGTCGGAGTGCAGGGTCGGAGTGCAGGGTCGGAGTGCAGGGTCAGAGTGCAGGGTCGGAGTGCAAGGTCGGAGAGCAGGGTCGGAGTGCAAGGTCGGAGAGCAGGGAACGAGAAGGACCCATCATAGTAGTCAAGTCATCTACTACACTCACATTATCGAGGAAGTATCTGTCATGAGTGATGGCGACCACAGTGCCTTTGAACTCCGCCAAGTATCGCTCCAGCCATGCCACTGCCTCTGCGTCGAGATGGTTCGTGGGCTCGTCCAGAAACAGAATGTCCGGCGCCTGAGAGTGGTAGAAAGGGGGGGGGGGGGGAAGGAGGCGATTTACAAAGAGTGCTTCCATCCAGCCATGGCACTGCCTCCGCATCGAGATGGTTGGTGCGCTCGTCCAGGAACAGAATGTCCGGCGCCTGAGAGTGAGCAGGGGGGAAGGAAGGGATTTTTCATAAGGGGTTCCGCTCTGCGTTCGGGTGGCATAACGAACCACCTGGACGCGGAGGCATTGGTCGGTATGTCTCCAGCCACGCACCAACGCCTCCACGTCCAGGTGGTTTGTGGGCTCCTCCAGGAACAGAATGTCGGGCGCCTGAGAGTGAGCAGAGGTAAGGGGGAGTGTGTGTGGGGAGGGGGGAGAAGGGGGGTGGGATGCAAGAGTGGATCCATCCAGCCATGCCACTGTCTCCGCGTCCAGATGGTTGATGGGCTCGTCCAGGAACAGAATGTCCGGCGCCTGGGGGTGGGATACACGGAACAGGCAGGAGAGCAGAGAGGAAAAAAAACCCTCGCAAGAGGGGATCGAAAGGGGAGGGGGTGAGTCACAGAAAGAACGCCATTGGCTGGTCCATCCAGCCAATAACTGGGGGGGGGGAGGAGGGGAGGGTGCGTGGGGTAAGTCTCGTGTCGCTGTGGCAGAAAAGAAACAGAAGATATTACCTCCAGTCAGACAGCGAACACTAACCCCCCCTCACCACCTCCCTCCCTGACCTCACCTGCAGCAGCAGCAGGCGGCACAGAGCCACGCGCCTCCTCTCTCCACCACGCAGGTTCTCATTCCTCTCTCGTGCTTGGTCCACAATGGTGATTGTACCAAGCATGAAAAAAAACGGCTTCCTCTCTCTCCCCTACCCTACCACCACCTCGCTCCCTCCCTCCTCTCACCTGCAGCAGCAGCAGGCGGCACAGAGCCACGCGCCTCCTCTCCCCGCCACTCAGGTTCACTGAAGAAGGGTGTTTGTGTAACAAGCATGGTATGGAATGACTTCCCCCGATCCCCACTCCTCCCTCTCCACCCCCTCTCCCTCCCCTCACCTGCAACAGCAGGCGGCACAGGGCCACGCGCCTCCTCTCTCCGCCACTCAGGTTCGCCACGGGGGCCTCACCAGCGGGGCAGCGCAGCGCGTCCATGGCTCTCTGCAGGCAAAGGAGGCAGAGAGATGGGTGGAGAGCGGTGCAAGTGAGCTTGAGAACGGGGATCAGACCACGAGGGCTAGTGACAGCACCACTCAGGTCCACCACAAGGGCATCATTGGGGGGGGGGGGGGGGGGGTTGAGGCGCCTCAAAACTGGGGGGGCAGCGCAGAGCGTCCATGGCTCTCTGCCAGCAGGGAGGGGGGAGCGGACAGAGGTTGCATAGGGGGATACGGATGGTAAGGGAGAGGTGGGGGGACGAGGATGGAAGTAGGATTGAATGATCTGATCTGATCTGATCTGGCACCATGGGCGGCAGTACGGGCGGCATTCAGCAGTATGGGCGGCACGGCATGCAGCGTGGATGGCACACCGAGAGGCACTTGTTGAACAAACTGCCTCGCAGAGGACCCACCTGCAGCAGCTTGCCTCTGCTGATTCCACCTGAGGACTCACCTGAAGCTGTCTGCGTCTCTGTTTCCACCTGAGAACTCGCCTGCAGCTCCCTGAATCTGTTGTTTCTATCTGAGCACTCACCTGCATGCAGCTACCTGCCTCTGTTGTTTCCACCTGAGGACCCACCTGCAGCTGTCTGCCTTTGCGGTTTCCACCTGAGGACTCACCTGAAGCTGCCTGTCCAGCTCCCAGCCGTTGCAGGCATCCAGGCGGGTCTGCAGGCGTTCCATCTGAGCCATCAGCTTGTCCATGTCAGCATCGCCCGCTGATGCCATCGCCACACTCACCTGCATGTATGGATACAAGCACATATGAAGGATATGAGCACATGTGAATAAGAGGACATCTGGATTTAGCACATCTGACATAAGAACAAAAGGACTTAGTGTGAAAGTTGTAGACTGAACAAGTGATTAGATTAGAAGAGAAACAAGCACACATAGATGGGAGAGAAGCTTGGAGGGGAAGGGCGGTTTTGACCAAAGGTTGGGTTGGCCTCACTCGGGGAGTGAGGCAACCTTAGGTCAAGTGGGTTGGGTTGCCCACACTTTGGGATTTGACTCGTGACGAGTTGAGTCGAGTCACGCTTTTTGGATTTGGCAATGCATCGCTGACTCGGCGACTCGACTCGACTTTGACTCGTACGAGTCTTAGTGCTGAGACGAGTCGAGTGACTCGATGCCACTAAGAGCAGGGGTGTAGTGGTTGCTACGTGTACCTACCCTAAACTCCTTATCGCTACATCGAAACACGTGTAAGCTGACTAGGAAACCAACGTGTTATTTCACAGGTGGATTTTGACAGTCACGAAATACGCCAATATTTGAGCTCAGGTTCAGGGTTTGGTGAATTGCCATGCCCTGGGATGTGACGAAAGGAAATGCGAAAATCACGAAAGCACTTGATTGGACCGGACATGTGAGCGATTTTGATTGTTTCGCAACGGTTCAGCACATCGCGCTGCTTTCTCGCCAAACTGTTTGCTCGCCAATAGGGTTTGACACATAGATGTTTGTATAATCACGAAATCTCCAACTACACGCCTTGGGATTGGATGGTGCTTTTGAGACAGATCCAGCACACCGATTCACATCAAATGACGTTTTGCGCCCAAGGGTCTGACAGAGGCGGATTCTATCGTTCACGAAAAATATTGATTGGGTGGAAATTGTAACGTTCACGAAATTCGCCACTTGTTTCCTCGCATTCAGGTATTCGTTGGTCTGGATCTAGACACTTCGAAAGATTACTCCCCGTGCTAACATGATATTTTACACTTGGGAAACAGAAATACAGGGCGAGCCAAACCTGACTCGCGAGTCGCCTGCCTCGCCCTCGAGTCAGGCTTGACTCGACCCCTAAATCGAGTCTCGAGTCAGCATTCACCCAAAACCGACTCGAGGGTGACACGACTCGACTCGACTCGACCATAATCACGACTCGACCACGACTTGAAGAGACTCGACTCGACTCGACTCGTGATCATGTCTAAAGTGAGGCAAACTTAGGTCAAGTGGGTTGGGTTGCCCACACTTTGTGGAAGTGAAGCAACCTTAGGTCAAGTGGGTTGAGTTGCCCACACTTTGTAGAAGTGAGGCAACCTTTGGTCAAGTGGGTTGGGTTGCCCACACTTTGTGGAAGTGAGGCAACCTTAGGTTAAGTGGGTTGGGTTGCCCACGCTTTATGGAAGTGAGGCAACCTTAGGTCAAGTAGGTTGAGTTGCTCACACTTTGTGGAAGTGGGACAACCTTAGGTCAAGTGGGTTGGGTTGCACACACTTTGTGGAAGTGAGGCAACCTTAGGCCCACTTGAGCTAGATTGGCCTCACTTGTGGGAAGTGAGGCAACCTTAAGCCAAGTGGGTTGCATTTAGGGGCTCCACCACAATTGGGTTGGATTGGCACCCCAATGCAAGACTACACCCAAAGTTCGGTGTTGTCCCAACCCAACTGTACACCACAAGTGGTGTACAGTCACAAGTGTTGGCATGCTACAATATATATTTTTTCTAACACTTAGGTACCCATGCATAGAGGCATAAGTTGTGTGCTCATCAAGGGTCCTGTGTGTGTATTCTGTTTCCTTCTCGAATGCTTCCCTTCCCTAAGCCTCCTCCCCTCCCATCCCCTCATCTCACCTCCTCAAACTCCTGAAGCAGGTCCTTGGTCTCCTTAAGAGCAGGTTCGATATTATCCATAACAGTCACCCCATCATCCAGCAGCGGCTCCTGCTCCAGGTACCCAATCTTGATGCTCGGATCAATGTAATAATCCCCCTCGAACGTCGTGTCTTTCCCCGCCAGAATGCGCATGAGAGAACTCTTGCCCGCTCCGTTGGCTCCCAGAAACCCAATCTTGGCGCCCAGGTACATGCCCAGGCTGATGTTCTTTAAGATCTCCTTGCCGTTGGGGGCGACCTGGGGGGGGTGAGGGAGAGGAGGAGGGCAAGGAGGAGGGGGAGGAGGGGGAGGAGGGGAGGAGGTGAGTGGGATACCCCCCTCAAACGTCGTGTCTTTGCCCGCCAGAATGCGCATGTGGGAACTCTTGCCGGCCCCGTTGGCCCCCAGGAACCCGATCTTGGCCCCTAGATACATGCCCAGGGTGATGTTCTTCAGAATCCCTTGCCGTTGGGGGCGACCTGCTTGGCGCGAGGTGAGCATCGGGTGGGAGGAGGGTGGTGGAGTGAGGGGGGGGGAGGGTGGTGGAGTGAGGGGGGGGGAGGGTGGTGGAGTGAGGGGGGGGAAGGGTGGTGGAGTGAGGGGGGGGGAGGGTGGTGGAGTGAGGGGGGGGGAGGGTGGTGGAGTGAGGGGGGGGGAGGGTGGTGGAGTGAGGGGGGGGGAGGGTGGTGGAGTGAGGGGGGGGGATGGAGAGCAATCACCCGAGGTACATCTCTAGAGAGCAATCTCTAGATTGCGCATGAAACTTCGGGCTTCTCCGCGCAAATGCTGTTGCGTTCGTTGGAGACCTTCACCGTCCGTGTCTCTTCCCTTGAACAGAACGGCGACTTGAACCCTGAATCCCGTCCAGCAAAGCCCGGCGGACGCGAGGGGCACCGAACGCAACAGCATTTGCTTTGCACGCAACGGGGAATCTCTGCCACGAAAATTTCTAGTAGAGTTGATTTTCAACGTGCCTTGCGGAGGCGGTTCACGCTGAGGATGATCTTCCGCGTCTCGTTCTGGTACGCCGTCCCGCGATCCGCGGACGGAGCCTTGCTGCCCGCCGACTTCAGCTTCCCCCCGCCCCCGCCGCCTCCGCCTCCGCCGGCACCGCCGCCTCCGCCTCCCCCTCCGCCGGTTCTTCCGCCGCCTCCCCCGCCCTTCTTCCCCTTCTTGCCCGCCATAGCGACCACTTTCGCAGTGCGCGGTGCCGTCGATGTGGAATGCCGCCGTGCCTTGATGTGCAACGTGGAGCCCTTCCATTGGAGGAGATCAACGCCGCCAATTTGGCTACATTTGGAGGCAAATGTTGAGGGAATGCCACGTTGGACTGTCAGTTCGGAACCAACAGCCAGGCATGTTGGGGAATAACTGAGAGCCATGGTGAGAGGGCGAGAAGACAATCGAAGAGCGTGTCGATATAGATGTTAATACTATTTGATATAATATTTATTTATTCACTAACATCCGTTGTCGTCCAGCCTGGTTAGGATACCTGGCTTTCACCCAGGCGACCCGGGTTCAAATCCCGGCAACGGAGCTCTTTTGCTGTCTTTAGGGTTCGGAGACCTCTCTACTCCCCACTGCTGCTGGTCGCTTAACCTATTCCGGTCAGCTGTCGTCAGAGGAATTCCTTCAGTGGGGTAGATTGTCATCAATCGTGATGGGTCAGCGAACGCGCTGGTTGGCCAACAAACACCCGTTTTGCCGAAGATGTCTGCCACAAAACCTGCCCGTGACACTACGTGATTCCACGTGCTATTCGTTTTCGGGGTGACAGGGAAATTCAGAAGTGGACTGACAATACCTCCCATACAGTGTCGCTTGGGGGTCACAACGTGCCTCCATTTTGGCTCTGAATATTTCCCGCAAATGAGCGACTCCAGTCGATGCTGACGGCTCCACAATCGACCACGGAGCGAGGGCCACGTCGGATGTGTCCGCCCATCAAACCTCCCATCCCGTCGTCCATGCGATGGCCTTCCGTCACAAAAACTTCCACCATCAGCCCACACAGACAGCCCGAAGTCCAAGTTTGATGCGAAACTGACGGAGGGGCTCGACATTTTCCGTCATTCCCAAACTCGAGGCGCGTCAAACCCCATCATCCCCCTTGGGATTTGTGCAGCTGCCAAATCAAACATTTGCCTCGATTTCATCCACAGCTCCACCGCTTGGAAATTGTACAGCTAATCATTCTCAGGCTTCAGACTTCCACAGCATTCTAGACGATCAGAGCTCTAGTGACCTTCGCTCATCAAGTAGCATTTTCATACTCAGCTGCCTTTTACTCCAGTAGGTGCGGGGCCTCATACCCTGTTGTAGGTTGTTGGCGACACAATTCAACTCATTTGCGCGCGTTTCAAGAAATCTGCGCTTTGACACGTTTGAAGCGAAGGATTAGCCTATGCAGCAGCGTGTCTAGTAGGTTCTCGCAAAGCGCGTAACTACCTCAGTGTACTTAATCTCACTATACTAACTCAGTACAGAAGTGGCAAGTTTGAGGAGAAGCCATGCCGCTTGTTGATGGCATGACCGCATTAGACGAAGCCCTGGAGGCTCCCGAATGGAACAGCCTCGGAGCAGTCAGGACAGCAATTCGGAAGCAGCTAACACAACGAGGTAACGCTTTTGAATCTATTCAATATCGTAAAAAATTAACGCTGTTACGGTGCACTAATCAGAAGACCAAAAACCGTCAGGTTTTTTTAAAGCTGCGAACTAACACTAGTTATCTGACACCTACTATCAATCTCTACTGTATCATTCGACCTTGCTCTGTGCAGGTGCAGGAGCTACGAATTCATCGGAGGAAGTCATAAATCACTGGTCGTTGGAAATGATGGGGGTGTTGAACGACATGAACAGTGCTAAAGCTGATGCTATGAGGGATATGGCACCTGGAGATCGACGAGCATGGAAGGTACGACGCGCAGTCATGCACCTACGCTTATTACCCGAAACAGGAGAGCGGTTTTTGTTCATTTCGAGCGCCATAGTGGAGGCAGACTGAATGACGCTGTCAAGATCCACGGAATTGGGGGAAACGAAAAATTAGCATGCCTCAAGAAAGAATACTGAAGAATAAATCCCTATCCGCAGGTGTGCGAGGAGGGTCCGGAGCATCGAGCCATGGTGCGCAAGGGGCCGGAAGGGACGGAGGTGCACACGCTGCTGATGGAGGGAATCGTGAACGGACCCGTCGAAGCAGCCGTCGCCATGACTCGCGATGTCACCTTTTTCAAAGAATGGTGCGTCTTCCCCTGCAGCGAATCAGTATTGACAGCATCAACATCAGCAGCAGCTGTAGTCATGACTGTCGTCGTCCCCTTGGCTCTTGACATTGCGACTTGAGAGTGTAACTTCGTTGCACTTTGGTGGTCTCAGGTGGCCGCAGCAGAACATGCCTGTGTACAAGGTGATTGAGAACCGGTACCTGAAGCGAATTGGCGACGGCTTCGACCTCACTTACATGAGGTAATCCTCTCGCAGACGATAACCCTCACATGAGGTAATCACCTCATCACCACAGCTTTGAACCATCCCACCCAGTCAGGGAACTCTAAGAATTCGCTTTAAATAATTTTTTTACCCTTTATCAACTAGCCCTGGCAATGATGTTTCAGATTTCCTCTTCTTGCTGCTGGTTGGATCCTGTTGCTCGAGCAGGTTCAGGACCCCTTGGCCGTTCCCCGGAAAGGAGTTCGCCTTCATGCTCTTGAGTGTCTACGACGCCAACACCGGCATGGTCACGACCGTCCTTCAGACGGTGAGTGGCTTAGACATTACTCGTGGGCGGTGGCGTCGTTCGAAATGGCCCCTTGTGTTGGCCCCTTGGGTTTTCTAGTGAAAAGGTTTGTCTTCATGCTCCTGAGCGTGTACGACGCCAACACCGGCATGGTCACCACCGTCCTTCAGACGGTGAGTGGCTGAGTCATGACTCATGGGCGGTGGCGTGATTTGATGGGGGGGGAGGGGGACTGACTGGCCGTTCCCCGGGAAGGAGTTCGCTTTCATGCTCTTGAGCGTCTACGACGCCAAAACGGGGATGGTCACCACGGTCCAGCAGACGGTGAGTGGCTAGTTCTGACTCGTAAGCGGTGGCGTGGTTTGTGGGGAGGGAGGGGGCCTGGCCGTTCCCTGGGAGGCAGTTCGCCTTTATGCTCTTGAGCGTGTACGATGCTAACACGGGGATGGTTCACGACCGTCCTTCAGACGGTGAGTGGCTTCGTGGAAAGAGTCGGTAAATAAATACATCATGTGCCCTACGCGTCGTCCGCATGACCAACAACGGCTGCTTCGCCGTGGAAGCCCATTCGTGGCCGTTACCACCCGCCCTCCATTCCCACCATCCCCACCATTCTCACCATCCGCAGCCGCCAGAGGACAACGCGTTGATCAACCCAGCAAAGCATGGCTTCCCTCGAGAGGCCGTTGCAACTTTACCCTCGGGCGTGGTCCGCATGGCCATGAACGGTGGCTTCACCTGAAAAGGTTGCTCATCACACTCCCATCTCTCCAATTCCCGCTCTTCCACACCCCCCCCCCTCCAGCCGCCAGAAGACAACACGCTGATCAACCCAGCCAAGCACGGCTTCCCTCGAGAGGCTGTCCCGCCTGTGCCCTCGGGCGTGGTCCGCATGGCCATTAACGGTGGCTTTACCGTGAAGGACTTGGGAGAGAATCGCTGCCACTATCGGGGAATCTTCACCGTCGATCTCAAGATGCCGCCCGCACTGGTCAATTTCGTCACCAAAGGGTTTGGCGGGATGCTGTTCACGGTGTTTAGCAAAGAGATCGAATCTGATTTGGCGGATATCAAGGGCGGCAAGGGGAAGGCGTTCCGGAAGGTTCTGGAGGAGGAGCAGCTGTATGTGCGGATCAGAGAGGCCATGTGCGAGCACCGTGCTCGCAAGGAGAAGCAGCGGGAGAGAGTTGGGGGAGGAAGCGGAGGAGGAGGAGCGGTGGCGGCAGCAGCAGGGATGGGTGATGATGGTGAGGAGGAAGAAAGATGGGATGGAGGAGAGTCAGAGGCGTTTTATTCTCCCGCCTCCTCCTTCTCCTCCTTCCATGCGCACGCCCTCCCTCACCTCTCCCTCGACCATGCCGCTGCCTCTGAACCACTCCACCCACACGCCACAGAAGGCACGCATCTTCGTGAGGCGGCCCAAATGCTGCCCTCACACGCCTCGGGAATGCAGCGCCGCACCAGTGGTCCTCCTCGCTTCAGATCTTCTATCTCTAGGGGAAGGTCGGACGGCCCAGCAGCAACGAGAGCAGCAGCAGCGGCGGAGGCGGCAGAAGCAGAAGCAGGAGGTTCAGCAGGGTGGGTTGGCAGGGGCCGGTTTGGCTTCCGCAGCAGCAGGCGCAAGGCAGAGGAGAGAGCTCGCAAACTCACAGAAACCACTCCTCCCTTCTTGTCCTCTCTTCCCACGCCCTCTTCACCTGCTGCTTCCCTGGCCTCCTCCCTATCCCAAGCTCGCCTTGAAGACCTGGGCCTGATCCCTGTGGACTCTGCTTCTACATCTTCTCACGAAGCAGCAAGCTACCAGCCCCACCACAGTGACCTGTGTCAGCAGCTGCAGCCTGGTGATTTTGACAGAATCGTGGCAGGAGGTGCTTCAGAAAGCAAGGGAGTGTTTGGCAGCAGTGGGAAGGGGAATGTGGAGTTAGGAAGCAAGACAGGTGGCGGGATGTTTGGTAGCAGCTGGAGATTCGGCAGCAGCAGCAGCAGAAGCGGCAGAAGCAGCAGCAACAGCAGGAGCAGGAGGGATAGCGACGGTGGTGCAGTAAGGAGGAAAGTCCCCGGCAGCCCAGGTCTTGGTCTCTGGTGGAAGAAAAGGTCATCCCGCGTTGCTGATTGCAGCAGCTATGATGACAATGCGTGCGCAGAGGCAGCATCAGCAGGAACAGCAGCGCCACAGTCACAGCCTCCCCCAATGTGGTTGGAATCTCCAGTTCACATGACCAGCCGCAGGGGCAGCACCGGCAGCACCGGCAGCACTGGCAGCGGCGGCATGACTGGTACCGGCAGCAGCACTGGCAGCAGCAGCAGCTCGTGGTCTGCAAGCCCTGTTCTATGGGAAGAGAGGAGAGTGTCTGAAGCAGGGAACAGTAGGCGTGATGGTGCTGGTGGGTTGACCGCAGCAGGTGTCTTGAGCCCTGGTTGGGAGTCCGGAAGCACTCACAGCAGCCAAAGCACCCGCAGCAGTAGCAGCAGAGGCAGCAGTAGCGTGCGAAATAGAGGAGCGAGCAGCCCGGTTCACGAGCAGGTTAAAGGACCTGCTGTTTTGGCGGCAGGAGGGGATGCTGCGTTTGGGGCGCCTGTTGGAAAGGGGTACGGGCGGTACTGTGATGTGATGCCGAAGCAGCAGTTGGAGGTGAAGCGAAGACAGGCAACAGAGAGACGGTTTCTCAATTTCTTGAAAGGGGGACTGGAGTTCGATTTTACTGCTTCATGATCTGAGTGGCCAGGTGCGATACAATCCATAGGAATTATCCAGTGTAAACATTAATACATGTTTGGCGAGCGTCAAGGCTGCTGAGGCAATAAAAACCAAACATTAATACCTCTATGTTTGGGGGTATCGAGGTGCTGAGGCAATAAAAACCGAACACAAAACTAATTTTTTTACACAAACAATATCAGCTTCTGTACAAGATAACACACAACCCGATAGAGTGTAGCACACGCATCTGCTGTGCAGTGAAGAGCAGTCACCAACCCTAGCTAATATCAGCTGTACATTAGCTGTACAGCGCATACTACCGTAACTAGTGCTAGGAACAAACTGGTTGCATTTCATGCTGTTGCTAACCTGCAATTCCCTCATTGTGTCACCCACACCATCCCCTCTCCTCTCCTCGACCCCCATCACTTGCTCTGCTTTGTGTTGCTGCCCTTGTCCTTGGCACTACCTGGAAGACTGCCCTTTTTCTGCTAGGGAGGGACGATGCGGGGAGGTTGATGCAGGGTGTTGGATGTGAACAAAGCAAAAATCTCGAAGCACGAAGCAGATAATCTAGAAAACGATGACTTGCAAACAGGAAGCGCGGAGAAGAAAGAAGTGAGAAATACAATAGAAATAAGAAACTGGTACACTTGCTCGCAGAAGCATTCCTGGTACCCACCTTGGCGCACTTAATCTTGGAGGCCAGCTTCCTTCGCTCCACAGCTACATTGTCAACCTGGTTGGACCCCACCCAACAATTCCAAGGTAATATGACAAGGTATGCATGATGCCAATCTTTTAATCAACAAATCGATAATTAACTAAGTGACCACTTCAATGGCCCCTAGACCACTTCAAGGTAGAAAACCAACTAATTGAATCAAGTCAGAAACCCCCAGTGATCCCAAAGCGAGCCAAACAGGAAGGCACAAGCTGACCTGGACATGCAATGCACATGCTGCAATGCTGAAGAGAGGGAGCCAGTTGCCGTCCATTGCCAGGGTGAGACCGCCCCTGTGGGATCAGAAATATAGTTGCAATGAGCGGTCCAGAGAGGACGGTCAGGAGAGGGGGGTCAAGAGACGGGAGTCAAGAGAGGGGTGTCAAGAGAGGGGGGTCAAGAGAGGGGGGTCAAGAAACGGGGGTCAAGAGAGGGGGGTCAAGAAACGGGGGTCAAGAGAGGGGGGTCAAGTAACGGGGGTCAAGAGAGGGGGGTCAAGAAACGGGGGTCAAGAGAGGGGGGTCAAGAAACGGGGGTCAAGAGGGGTCAAGAGAGGAGGTCGACAATGGGACGTTAAGATTGTCAGGTGTTGCATACCTTGCATAAAATTGGGTTCGCATTTCTGGCACAAGCTAACGATTGGCAAGTGTAATGATGGGCATTGCACACCTGGCATGGATGATGCACACCTGGCATGGATGATGCACACCTGGCATGGATGATGCACACCTGGCGTGGATGATGCACACCTGGCGTGGATGATGCACACCTGGCGTGGATGATGCACACCTGGCACAGGGTGTGACATAGACTGCCGCAAAGGGGATGTACTTGACATCACGAGAGTCGATCCACGCCAGCACCCAACATAGGGTGATTATTGGCAAAGCACTGCTTGCATAGGGTAATTATGAACATCGCCCACCTGGCATACGGTGCGGCATAGACCGCCGCAAAGAGGATGTACTTGACATCACGGGAGTCGATCCACGCCAGCACCCAGCACTGCCACGATGCCACCAAACAATCATCCAATCACAGCACACTGATTAAGGCGCCTAACAGCTGCATGGAGGTTGTATGTACTTGGAGTCACGAGAATCAATCCATGCCAGCACCCAGCACTGCCACCATACAATCAATCACATAACACAAATTAAGGCACCTGACAATCGACACGAGAACGCAATTATAGACAGCCACACTTCGTATACTGTCACACTGAGCCTTGAACATCACATTTCAGAACCTTATGGAGACGAAAAACAATTAAATTCTCCCATGTCATAACAACCAACCATGCCATAAGATCCAGTCATCCCATTCACCTATGGGTCACTAAGTTTCCAATCATTGGAATATTCCATCCATATCAATCAGTCACTCGTTATAATCACCAGCCAGTTGAAGAACGGAATCAGGCTGACCACCGTCATCACCCCCGCGCGCAACTCCCCCAAAGACATCGCCCCTTCCGCCTCCTCCCCCTCCGCCTCCCCCTTCCCGTCCCCCACCCCTACTCCCGCGGCCAGCAGCGCCGCGGCCGCCGCTGCTGCAGCATCGTCATCGTCCGATCCTTTCGTCTTTCCCGAAAGGAGCGGGAGCGACGGTAGGACGAGCGGCGCGGCTGAGAGTGCGATGGACGTGGCGATCGCTGCGACGAACGGGGCGTCATCGACGAGCGAGACCTGGCACACTGTGATTGGCCGGCAGGGTTGGTGCGAGATCGGCGGACGGAGACTCAGGGTGTTCGGACGATGGATGTGACAATAGCGAGAGGGGAGTGTAGCGGCGGGGTGGCTGCGGTGGGAGGAACTGAAACGAGGCTTGTCGGATATACTCGACGCAAGCATTTTGGTAGCACCACCAACCAGACAGGTGCTCGAACTAGCCATGGCGGCGAAAGAGATCAAAAGCGGTGCTAATTCACTCTGATGGAGAAGCGAAACACTACCCTTCGTACTATTTGTTCTGCCAGACAACACGGATATTGATCGCAGACCGTGCAGCGCAGTTAAAAGCGTTCAATAGCAGCGTCAAATACGACTAAAAAGTGAGACGCGATCTTAGCAAAGTGTCACCAGTATTCAGCACCCAGCTCGTGCTTATACGGTACGCTTAGAGTCAGCAATAGCAAGCATGCAGCTAACAACACCTCTCGAGAAGCCACGTGGCTACTAGTTCCGCAGCTGAAGAGGAGTGCCAGGTCCTACGCTGATTCTTGAAAATTCCACGTGGACATTGGCAGCTGTTGAAACAAACCGAGCGCGACACGAGATTGTGCATTCGCCGGCGTCTCAAAAGAACGAGGAGAAAAAAGCGACAAAAGGATGTGGTTCTCCTTTCGGTACCAAATCTAATAAGCTCAGTCGGAGATTCCAAGAGAATGTTTACTCCCACATGCTTCTGCCTGGAAGTCCAAAATCTGAATCCTGAACCTTCATTTTGAGCCAAGGTTAGCTTAGGCGAGCAACCGAGCTAACAAGCGGAAAACAGATTCTGAAATCCAGGTTTCAGTACATGAATGAACCACAGTTTCTTCTGGTGCGTTACGTTTCAGAACGGTATTTGGGTGTATACGCTGGGTACCATGGGATAACCGCACTGGTTGGGCCACGAACGAGCGATCATTGGAAGAAATTCCTCTAGGGATCCTCTGGGCTGGATCAGCACAATTATCAGAAATGCCGGCTGCCACATTTTCCTCGATATCAAAAGCCGCGTTTGCAAGGCAGACAGAAAAATCCAGAGATTTTTACAGCCTATTACTTTTCAGAAAAGAACGCAACTATACCTTTTTGACAACTCAACTAGACTCAAACTCAACTCAACGAAACACCTAGGAAGAAGAAGAAAAAAAAACAAATACATGCAGCGACCACTTATTTCATGAAGTCTATTTTGGAGAGAGAATAGGGGATCCAAACCTTGTGTCGTCGCTTAAGTTCCGCGTGTGCACGCTGCGCCTAGGCACCACCACAAATGCAGCACGTGCCTTTCTTCCTCCTCTTCTTGCCGAAGCTTCTCCACGCCGGGAAACTTCCGACTCGCTCGCATATCCAGCTGCTGCAAAACGGCTGCGGATCTGGTCAGAGCTCACACTCTTTACAGGAACCTTCGAAGAAGGACGATTCACGGAAGGCCTGGAGGATTGAGGCTTCACTGCAGTGGTTCGAGCTGTGAGTGGGGAAGCACGGGAAGACATTGAAAATGCAGCTGCAGTTACAGCTGCACCAACAGCCGTTACAGCAGTACGAGCAGCACCAGCAGCATTGGCACCAGCAGCCGAAGCACCAGCAGCATTGACACCAGCAGCACCAGCAGCACCACCACCAACACCACCATCACCAGCAGCAGCACCAACAACACCGCCAGCAGCAGCAGCCGGAGCGGCAGAAGCAGCAGCAGCAGTAGCACCTGCTGGGAGCATTGTTCCCTCAGTAGCATCAGCAGCTTCACCAGCAAACTTAGCAAAAACATTCCCCGCCCGCCTGCCTATGGCACCTGCAGGCGCAGCAGCACGGATGTCAACAGCAGAACGGATGTCAGCAGCAGAACGGATGTCAGCAGCAGAACGGATGTCAGCAGCAGAACGGATGTCAGCAGCAGGACGGATGTCAGCAGCAGGACGGATGTCAGCAGCAGGACGGATGTCAGCAGCAGGACGGATGACAGCAGCAAGACGCATGTCAGCAGCAGGACGGATGTCAGCAGCTGGTCGGATGTCAGCAGCAGGACGGATGTCAGCAGCAGGTCGGATGTCAGCAGCAAGGATGTTATCAGCAAGCATGTCATCAGAGGTGTCTCCATGCCACAATGCCCTTCGTGCAATGGCCCGGTACCCCCCTTCTTCTGCTGATTTAGGGCCCCCTCCCCTTGGTGATCTAGCACCCCCAGATGTTGCACTGGCAGGGGGGAATGGGCTATCTGGGTGAAGGTTCCATGAAACCCGCTTGCCAAATCTGGGAGAAGAAGCCATGGAGGTAGCAGGTGCTTTCAGGATGGAGGGGCGAGCAGAGGGGGATAGGGAGGTGGTGGAGGAGTGAGAGGGAGTGAGAGGAGGGGACAGGGATGAGGGAGTGAGAGGGGGGGATCGAGAGGAGGGTGTGAGAGGAGGGGAGCGAGACGAGGTAGTGAGAGGAGGGGGACGAGATGAGGCGAGGCGAGGGGATTGGGACGAGGGATTGAGAGGAGGGGATCAAGATGGGGGAGTGGGACGAAGGGATCGCGGCGAGGGAGCAAGAGGTGGGGGTTGAGATGAGGGACTGAGAGGAGGGGTGCGAGATGAGGGAGTGAGAGGAGGGGATTGAGAGGAGGTACTGAGAGGAGGGGGACGAGATGAGGCGAGACGAGGGGATTGAGATGGGGGAGCGAGAGGAGGGGGTCGAGATGAGGGACTAAGAGGAGGGGTGCGAGACGCAAAAGTGTGACGGGGAGATTGAGACGAGGGAGTGAGAGGCGGGGATCAAGACGCGGTAGTGATAGGAGGGGGTCGAGATGAGGAAGTGGGACCAGGGGATTGAGACGAGGGAGTGGGGCGAGGGGATTGAGACGAGGGATTGAGGGGAGGAGGTCGCGATGGGTTGGTGACAGGAGGGGATAGAGGAGGAAGATTTGGCTTGAGAGTCAACACAGCGGGACCGTTGCGCTGGCTGAGGAGAGAGGACTGGGGAGAGAAAGTACGTGCCACAGATCGCGCTACATTCACTGCTACATCTCCTGCAACAGTTCCAGCTACAGTTCCTGCTAACGTATCTGCTACAGTGTCTGCCACAATTCCTGCCACCATTCTCGCTGCATTCACCGCTACGTTTCTTGCCGCGTTTACTGCGACAACATTCCTGTTGGCAGCAACAGCAGCGGCTGTGGCTGTAGCCGCGAATCCCGTAACCACTTGTGCCTTCATAGATTCCGCAGCCTTTTGCGACGTCTCAAAGGTCGTAACCACTTGTGACTTCACGGATCCCGCCGCTGCTGCCGCCGCTGCTGCTGCCGCCGCTGCTGCTGCAACCTTAGCAACAGAGACCGCAAGGCGACCAACAGACTCGGGGTTCTTAAGCCAGTCGCTGTTCTTCATCAACGAAGCAAAATCCATGCTCTGGCTCTGCTTGTGGCTGATTTCCGCTCTCCTTGCAACCCCGCCTTTCCCTCCTCCTCCTCCTCCTCTGCCTCCCCTTTCCCCTCCACCAAATCCTCCTCTATTCTCCCCCGGCCCGCGAGGAGAGACCAACCCCGGAAGCCCATAGCTCTCGGGAGGAGCAATCAGCCTCCACGCGACTGTGGTGCTAACCTCCGTATCTGATCTGGTTTGGCGGATTCGATACCCCGGCCGGCCGGAACCCGTCGTGGCCTTGACTGATATCGAAGCAGACGAGGCTGAAGTTGCGGGACGGTCGACACGAGATGACAGAGCAGAGGGAGATACAAAGGGAGAGGAGGAAGATGGAGGAGAGGACTTTTGAAGCGTGTCAAAGGGAGAGGAAGATGGAGGAGAGGAAAGGGGAGAAGAAGAAAAGGACCAAGAGGGAACTGGTAGGTCGCTGGAGGAATGGCACGATAGTACAGGGCTGCGGAAAAGCCTGTTCTGCCGCTCCTGCTGCTGCTGCTGCAATTGCTCCTGCTGCTGCCGCCGCTCTTGCTCCTGTAGTAACTGCTGCTGCCGCTGCTTCTCGGGCAGTTGACAGCTGCCCTGCTGTTTCTCCTTGCGTTTGAGACCGGGCTTGCACAGAGTGGCACAGAGTATCCTCCACGTACTGTGAGTATGCAGCACCGTCTGCTCTGCTTCCTTTCCTTGCTCCGCCTGCTCCGCTTGCCTCGCTTGCCTTGCTGCTTGCTCCGCTTGATCCTCCTCGTCCTCTGTTCTTCTTCCAGACCTCCCCTATTCCTCCTCGAGATCCTCCGCTCCTAGCGCCACGCATCCGATCATCGAATCTCGACCGTCCATTCTTGAAACGCGTATCAGAGCTTCCATCCTTCCAGACCTCCCCCGCTTCCGCCGCCCCTCGCGTCCTTCTCCTGGCCCTTAGGTCTCGAGTCTTCAAGTCCGGATTGACCTCCACGAGCCTCTCCTTCCGCCTCCGCAAGGGAGTGAGAAGCGCCAAAAGCTGCGCTTTAGCTGAGTGGCCATCCGTGATAAACAGGCCATATATGTGACCAGCCATATAGTTTTCCATTTTTCCCGCCCAACAAATCAAACCTTCGAGAAATTAGAAAACTCGACAGATTCAACATCGCTCTCAAAACTAGCGACACGGTTTGTTGCTCTCTCCCGTTTGCTACGCCATGGTCTAGACCTCCTATTATGAAAGATACAGTGCATTCTAGTCATTTATTAATTGTTCAAATGCAGATATAATTAGCATCATCCTCAGTTACGACTGTGGATATATTCGATCTTATAGGGTAAATCTCTCATGAAAATGAATCATATTTCTATAGCAAGTGCGTTAGCCAAGCCTCATTTGCCTTTGGGGCACTGTTCTATGACAATATTAACTTCACAAGTAAGATTATAACTCACTGTACAATAAACATATGAGTGCTTGTACGATTTCTAACTCTAAACGTGACTCATATCCATACACTTGCAAGGGTGATATTCACCAACGAATTATGTGTCAGAATCTGATGAGCAGGAATGGATGAACTAGTAAAAGGATAGGTACAAGTACTAACCCTAATTGGGTTGTACCCCATATGGGCTACCCCACTACAGCCTACACAACATACAACATATAAGTACGACACATAGGCAAAGTGGGGGAGACAAGGGGTCACAAGACCAGTCAAGCAAAGCAAAGCAAGCTCAGGGTGGATCACGAAGTCACCACACACTCTGAGCACAAGCAAATGGCCACGAGGCCAGTTCACATGCAGATTTATATAATGAGAACAAGCAGTAAATTGATCAAAACCTAGCAAGTGTAAGCATGCAGGTATAAGTATATAGATCACAGTACAAGCAAAGTCAAGAAGTGAGCAAGTGAGGCCAAGTAGGCACAAGGCCTAAAACAGTACAAAAACGCTGATGATCACAAGGCTGAAGTGCCTTGGTGAAGATATCAGCAGTGTTGGCCCGAGTGGCCACGTAAGCAAGACGAAGTTGACCACGCTGCTGTAACTCTCAAGCAAGGAAGTAACGCAGAGCGATGTGCTTCGTCCTGTGCTCCAGTCTGTGCTCCTGACACAAGGCAATCATGGCCCTGTTGTCGACGTACAGAACTGGAGGAGAACGAGGCGGCTCTCCCAAGTCAGTCAGCAGGTAGGTGAGCCAGCGTAACTCCAGTGCAGCCATGGCCCTTGTGTAGATCTCAGCCTCACAACTGAAACTGGGAACAGAAGACGAGCGGGTAGACAGCCAAGAAACAGAACCGGAGCCAAGGCTGAAAGTGTAACCCTGTGACGACCGCTGCGTAGCCAAGTCCTCAACCCAAGACGCGTCAGCGTGGCCAGTGAGAACAACTCGACTCCATCCTCCAAGCACGAGCCCCATGCCCGACATACTACACAAGTAGCGTAACACCCTCTTAGCGGCCTCCCAGTGCTCTCGTCTGTGTCTCTCGTCTGTGTCGCCCTCTTAGCAGCCAACATAGCGTGCCAGGATGCTGAGAGGGTAGGCAAGGTCACGTCGAGTGCTGGTCATCAGGTACATGAGGCAGCCCACAAGCTCTAGATATGGGGCACTCGGCTCTACGGACTCGTCCGAAGGTGGAGCTGAGAGCGAGTGACTAGTAGGCAGAGGAGTGGACTGTGGCGAGGACCAAGTGAAGCCGAAGCGCTGAAAGACCTGCTACACCATGTGTGACTGAGTCAGGGTGATGGTGCGGCGTGCTCTGTCCCGGGTAATCTGCAAGCCAAGATAGTTGCGCAGCTCACCCAGGTCTGTGCACGTGTGTCTCTTCTGCAGCTCCGACTTCACTAGAGTCCGTGCCTCGGTGTCAGCAGTAGCAAAAATCAGGTCGGCAGTCGTGGGTGGTGCCAATCGCCCCATGCCACTAGTTGGCTTGTTGCGTCGTGTTCCGTAGTAGCTACTGTTAAATGTGTCGAACTGTTCGATCAGTGCTGCCGGAAACTGCGCCCACGTCCCCTCGCCTTGGACTATTCTGTTGTTAATCCACTCTAGAGCTGGGCCTCGTAACAGTGTTGCTGCGAGCCGTATGCGCATTGCGTCTTTTGTCGGGGTCGTGCATCCAACGGCTTCGAAGTAAATTTCGAGTTTAGCTACAAATCGACGAACGTCGTTCCTTTTTACTGTAGGATCGAACGCCTCCGGTAGCCTCGGCTTCACTGCTTCGAGGTTAACTGTAGCTTCTGCCGTTGTCGCATGTAGAATTGTCGGTGTTGCCGCTGCTGCTGCTGCTACTGTTGTCGCTGCTGCTGTGGCGGTTGCCGACTGGTTCGCAAGGAGTTTTTCGAGTCGTGGGAGCACCGCATGTATTTGCTTATGCTCAGCACGTAACTCCGCGATTCTCTGTACTGAAATATCTCCTTTTCCCTCCATTTGGCGATTTACAGGAAGATGCGCGACAAAAATAATCGAATTCTAGGTGCTGGTCGACTTACTGCGAGTCAAGTTGACTATAGGATAGACGAGCGCGAATTCTGTAGGTCGCGTTAATCTCCCTTGAGCAAAATTCGCGTCCAATCTTGGCCGTTGAGGAGAAAATCAATCCGACACTTCAAATTCCAACTTTTTTGGGCGAAATTCTCTGGGCCGTTGAGATGAAACTCGATCGAACGATCGAAACTCCAACCTTTCCTCCAGTAAATCTGAGGGGTGTTAAAAAACTGAATCGAGGGGGACTTAGAAAAATTGCGCGGAACTGGTTTTACATACCCGTATCGGCGCTTTCGTCGTCGCCCCCGCGGTTTTAAAGGCCGGAACTAAGCGGTTGAAGACCTCGCGTGTAAACCCGCTCTGATACCAAGTGTGAGGATCTAGGATCGAGCTCAGAAAAGAGAATGTGAATTGAATAGAATTGAATGATCACCTGGGTACAATACGAGGCTATATATAGGCTCGACACAAGGCCCCGTAACCAGGTGTTACGCGAAGGTTCCGCGGGTCGCGAAGCGTCCCGAACAGATCCTTACCGAATTTGGTAGAAGGCAATTCGGTGGCAACCGAAAAGCCAGAATTCGGTGCACGCAACCTAGCTCGGTGCTATAACTATAATAAAATATAGGAAAGCACCTAGCCTAGGAAATCAAGCAATTCATGCATGCATATAATTATCCTATGCTAGAAATAGTATAATAAAGTAAAGGCAAGCAAGCATAGCTGGCATAAGCCGTCGTACTCTCACAACGACGCTGGTGTCACCACTTGGGGAAGGAGTGGCAGGGTGGGGAGGAGAGGCAATTCGAGACCTGCGGACCAGACACCCCGAGGCAGCACGCGAGCTGCTAGGGGAGCCGGGAGACAGCAGGGGGGGACAGGGCCGCCTGCAGGAGCAACTGTCGCGCCACATCAACTTGAACCGGGTTGCGGAGCTGGTGGGCGACATGCGGATGGACAAGCCTGGGGAGGACAACGGGCATGTGGTCCGGTTAATCAGCCTGCAGGGGGTAGGCACGGGGGACTGGCTTCATGCAATCCCCACGCGAGCGGATCTTACATTCTTGCCGGGCCAGTTTGCTTTGGCCCTAGGGTTCTGCCTGAGACTGACGCTGCCGGTGACAGCGAACTGCCCGTGCCAAGAAGAGCGGGGGGAGATAGGGGACCTGAGCTTACCGAACCACCTGCTGCGGTGCGGGGAAGGGAAGGAGAGGACAAACACACACAACAACCTCGTGTATGCAGCGCTCCGCATGGCCAGGGAGGCGGACTACCTTACCTTGTATGAGACCATGGTCTACTCGCAACCTATCAACCCCAAGCAAGCAGACCTGGCCATCAAGGACACA